TCATACGAGTTCGCTAGAATGTGCATTTGCTTTGCCGAGGAGTCTAAATTTGTTTAAAGTACTTTCCCATGTGCTCTAGAGGAAAGCACGTGTCTTGAGAACATAAACTCTACAGCTCGAGTCAGAGTTTATATTTTGAAACTCTTAGGTTCAAGTGAAAAACTATAATTTTCTGGGAAAAATGAAAATTTCAGACTAACTTATTCTACTATCTTGCAATTTGACAATTTGTTCTGGAAGTTTCATTGAATTAAAGGATACTAAAACAAACGATCGAAATTGCTACAATAAAAATGTTACGCATTTGTGTCAGTAGTATAGCAATTCCAAATTGAGCAAAATGAAGCAGACATTCGAACAATGCAATTAAAAAGACAAGCTTGATCTAATTTTGCAAACTTTTTTGAACGAAAAAAAAAACAAAAACAAACTGCAAGAGATAGAAGATTTGAAGCAGGAGCTCAAGAGAAGATTTGATGCAAGAGCTCGATTGAATCTCTGGTAACAAGCAATTGTAGTTTTATTTACAATTAGGAAACTAGACAAAAAATGAGAAAAAATATTTAGATTTACTCTTTTCATGCTTATAAAAGTGTCATTTGTTGAACATTAGCTTTTGATTACTGTAACTTTATGATTAGCTATAAAAATGAACAACAAAAGCAGTTGCTTTTGTGTTGTTTTTGCCACTAACGCAATTTTTGAGGATTTTCGGTTTCTTTGTATAGGATTTTCAAAAGTAACTTGGTTTCGTAAAACGCATTTCTAAAAGTACAACTTCCGATTGTCGAGTAAAATAGTGTTCAAGGTAACTCAAGTCTTTTTTTAGCTGAAAGAGGATGCATATTTTACACAATTGATAACAGAACTTTCAAACATCCATTTTCAGTTGAAAAACGATTGGTTCTGAAATCAAAAAACAAGACTGCTCGTATCAGCGCGAAGCCTTGAATGTTCCAACTGCTTTTTGAGGTTTATGGAGCAGTAATAACATAAAAAATTAATGGTAATAAAACAAAATGAAACTTTTTTTCTAAAATTTGAAATTTTTAATGAAATTCATCTCCCAACACGCCATATAAAGTACAAAAAGACAGATTTCGCTCCTTGTAACAAATCAATTATGGCAAATAAGCTTCCTTTAACCAATTTGGAACAATTTCTAAGACGGATTAATTCTCCGCTTACGCGTTAATAGCGCGAAGTATATCGCGCGTTAATTGTCCCAAATTGACCAAAATGGCAATCTTTAAACCCCCCATAATTTTACGAAAAATTATCACAGGTGAATAATCTTTTCAAATTTGAGCTCATGAAAATAAACAACACCTTTCAAACGATATTTTAAAAAAATGTCAAAAATAGCTAGTTAAAAAGTTTAAAATTTGTCGAAAGAGAAAAAACCCACCCCCGAGCACAAAAGTTCCGTTACTTTCGTATCGAAAGTCGGAACAATAATTGGCAAAAGTATACAAAAATCTGATAATGGTCTGTGAAACATTTGTCTAAATTCTGCATACAACATGTTGACAAACACATTTAATATCTCGTTTAATCAGCAGACAATTTGTTAAGAACTCGATACATAAGCTCATCTACGGCTCGAGACAAAATCAAATTAATATTTTTTAGAATTGTGTGAAACTGATATTTTTGAGAATAATTTAACTGTCAGACTTTGTTTAGACAGTTTTTGCCAGCTTGCTTACAAGACGTGAAGTTTCAAGACGTATTAGAGCATCGTTATTCTTGTGATTTAAGCAGTTTTAACTATAATTGAAACTGGTTTTGTATTTTGTATGCTTGCCAACTTTTGTAAGTTACCGCTTGTTTTTTGATCAGTATTTGTTTAATTAGGCTTGGGTTATGCTGCACTAATTTAGTTACCTCAGTGCATCGAGATTACCCCATTCGCGAAGGGAAAAATGTGTTGTTATGCTTTTGTGTTTCAGGAAAAATTGGGGCGGAAAAACTTCGGTTTTAGAACCTTTTGTTTTCGACTCAACTGACGCCCACCTAATATCATCTGCTTAATTGACGTTTGATAAACGATTATTAATTTTTAATCAACGGCGTTGTTAGTGTTTCTAGTTTTTCGAGAGAACGAAGTTTTTGTTTTGATGTGTTGTTTTCAAAATTAATTTTTTTGAATTCATTTCTTCGATTTAGGGTATCCCTTTTGTACTATTTTGAGATATCCCTTTTTGGCTGACTGACCCTAGAACTTTTCTAAAGGCGCCTTTGGCGCGAATATTTTTAATTTAGAGGGGAGAGCGCGCGCCAAAAAAACGCATTTTCGAAAATTGTTTGGAAATCCGCTCCCAATCGAGAAAATCCTAAATCCGACCTAGTTTCTGACCTATTCATTTATATTGTGATTGGAAATCGGAATGTCAGATTGAATAAGAGTTGAGTTTACACTTGCTACTTGAGTTTACACACAGTTTTTAATACAAGAATTTTGTCATTATTATCAAGTGTAGTATTGGGTTTGATAGCTCAAGGCGAAGCACTTGGACTATCTGAAGGGATTCCGAGGTTAAATAAGGAGAAGGGCGGGTCCTAATAGGCAACAATCTCAGCAGGCAATTTTACCTGATTGGCCTATTTTGCAAAATATAGTCTCCCTTCACTTTTTAAAGCACTCAAAGACCAGATTTAATGAAGAAGAGATTTCAGCATCGTTCAAAATAGCAATGGGCGTTATTTGTTGAAAAGTTGATACTCTTTTTAGAGAAATCTAAGAAAATCACTTGAGTGTTTTAAGACCGATAATTTTACACCCTTAAAATTCATTTCAAACCACGTTTCACTCAAGCAGACTTCCTTGTTTTAGTTTTATAACCACGTGGCTTTTAGTTGGGGCAGGTTTCATTAAAATGTAAAATACGCACTCGAGGGTATTTAATCGGATTTGATGATCTATCATATTATTTGTTACGACCATTGGAGATCCCTGGCGTCAATTTCCTCTCTAACCCTTTCCTACTCCAGTTATTGACAGAGATTGACAGTGGAACTAATGCTATTACTCTTTCTTTCCCTCATTCCACTAATTTCCCCTTCGACGCTTTTATTGTAACACTGACTATATATCTTCGTCCGTTGTTTGACACCCAGTATTCGATAAATTCGCTTCAGCCCTATGAAACCACAAAAAATACTCAAGTTTTCGTTTTGATTACCCTGTAGTGATTGATTTATTTATTGCTTCATGCTAACAGATGATGAAAAAGACTGGTTCGCGTTTGTTGCTAATTGTTATGAGTATGACCTAGCCCACTGAATAACGAATCAGTTCCAATGCAATTTTTCACAGAGAGCGATTTTATCCCATTTTTTGCAATCTACGAATTTGATTTTTGCCTGAAACGCTTTTAAAACTGATAAAAATGAAAAATTGCATGCTGGAAAATTTTCTTTTATTAAGTGTTGTTGTGTCTACAGCAACCATCCTGCATCTCGTTTCAAAAAGTTTATCGGAAAATTGACTTTTGGAATTATTTATAAATATATACAAATAATTCCAATAGTTCTTAATTCTTTCTTTGATAGATTTTTTGAAACGAGATGCCCTACTTCTTCCCGTGGTTCGATATAACGTATACATTTTGTTACAAGCAAAATTAGTGAATTTTGAAAAACTGATCAAATGGTGTTCTTTAAAACACCTTCATTTTCATTTTTAAACCTGATTGTTGATATTTCGTGGTTCTAAATTTTCCTTTTTTATTGGTCGGATTGAAAATCAGGTCCAAAAATTTTTCTTTCTTTCTTTTATAGCTTTCTGTACAATCTTTGACATTATGTCATGCGTTTTACATATCCGTTGTTTGAAGAAAAACAAATATTGAACTCTTGCTTGCAAGCTACGGACTTTTTTGACATTCCAAATTATATTGACAACTTAAGCTGAAAACTAAAAACGTGTTTAATTTGCGATTATTTTCCATAAATCTTTAAGGCTGTGGGAATTGTATTTTGAAAATTTTTAGGATTTTGAACAACAAAAAAATATTTGGAATAATTTGGGATGATTAAACAGAAATTTTTTTTTTTCAGTTTTCTGGAGTTGTGAAATGCCAGTAGGATCAAGGCGCAGAAATGCCAGCGGCGCAGAAAATTCGGCCAAAGCAGGTTCTTTTTAGTGTTTCGGGAGAGCTGAGAAAAAATCAATTTGGTCGGCCTAAAAAAAGTTAGACAAAATGACCCTCTCCCCGCCCCCTCCCCTCGAAAAAACCCTAAATCCGACCCTGGAATGAGCCCTATTTGGAGTGTTTTCCCATCTTTTTAGTTGGTAAATTTTATTTACGTCTTTTTTTGAAAACTGATCACAGCAAATTAAAAAAGTATCCATTATCAATTAATTCTCAATCACTTTATCTTCTTGGTGTACCTTATGTAGTTACTTGAGCTAGATTAATAATTCTGTTTTATAGAATGTGTGAAAAAATGACTTCATTAGTTTTTCTTGGGTTAAGATTAGTTGATAGAAAACATTGGCAAATTATTCAAGGTTTTAAGAAAATTTGCAGTTTTAAAAAGTTTTCCAAGAATTTTCAAAATCGTGACAATGTTCTCGATATGAATGAACCCGGGAGTATTCAGAACTCTAACAAGGAGTGATCATGTCTATGGGGCATGAAGGATCCCTGCCCAGAAGTGCTGAACCAGAATAATCGTTCGATTGGGAATTTATTGGCACAATCACCGTTGGGTGTCTCGAACTAGATCCCTGCTCGTATAATTGTGTCACTACAGACCTCTGCTTGGTGGTTAAGTGGGACGTGTAAATACTTGTGACTTTGTGTTCGTTTTTTTCTCAGTTGGGTCTGATAAGAAAGATTAAGCAGCCCCGAGTCATTAAATCAGAAAGCACTAGGAAATTAACCATGAATTAAAGCGTCTCTAATAAATAACAAAAATAAACAGTCTTGGTGTGTTTTCAGAAGCTTTCATAAGCTATAAGCGAGGTTGAGGTCTCCTGAGAAAATCATTTCTGCTATAAACTAAATTTGGAATAAGTTTCGATTTTGGTGGTTTATGACCTTAAACTGATGAAATATATTGCTTTGAACTACTTTTCAAAAAACCAAAATTTGACTTATTTGCAACCTTAATCGAAGTTTTCCTTGGTAAATTTTTTGCTTCTCGTTTGTTCACGGCGGAATACTTTTCAGCCGTGGGTAAGAAATCAAATAACTGATATAGATTTCTCATTCCTACGTCCGATTAAGTTTTCATAGTCCACTTTATCCCGCTTTACCAGGGAAGTATTCCTTCGCACCCAACCTGTGATCCCCCTTTATCCATATGTCCAACAGCGCCTTTTCATTCTACTCTAAATGGTTATTTTCCAGATTTATCAGTACAATACATGCGGCTATGAAAGCGATCGAATCAACAACCTTGTTTACTTGTAATCAAAATGTAACTTTGTAGAATTCACAAGTATTCATATTACACTCTTTTGCATATTCGTTTTATAGCAGCAGGAAAATTTTTCAAAAGTTAGCAGTAAAAGTTGCACTAAAACTTACAAAAATGGACGCCAATTTTTTTCCAACTCTCCAAAACTTTACATGGAATTCTGGTGCCTCGACAACAAATACTGACGACTTGTCAACTGAGAAAACTGTTCCTTCGACCCAAAGTCATTCAATCGGGACTATTTTGATTGTGAGTAGAATTTGATATCAATTGCTCTATTAGCTTTCTTAAGAAATCACATAGATCTTGGGGCTGTATTTTGCTTGCTTTTTGTAGCAAAAATTCTAAAATTTTAGCCCGTTGGTTTTAAAACGTTTTTGGGGTCTCCTTTTGAGAAATATAGAAAAAATGTAGGGGGCAAAATTAGGTATTAAAATTAAGAAACTGAAATACATTGTTTCTGCTCTTAAAGTTTCGTCACATGGCAGAAAAGACACCTGGACTGTTTACCAGAAAACAAAAGCAATACAAAAAAAGCTCAGCATAAGTTGTTGTAGGGCTTAAAATCAAAATTGAAAAAGCGAAAAATCGTTGTAGAGCAATTTTTGTATCATTTGTATTACTTTTTCAAAATAAAAAGATTTAGCAATGAACGATTAGCAAACGGCCATGCCTTAGTAGGTGTGGGATTCGCTACGGAATGTTTTGCGGAAATACTAGGCATAAAGTCTTGATAAAATTGTCTCGCAATCATTTGTCCTTTTTTATATAAGCGAGAAGTTGTCGCTTGTGAGCAATTATCAACTGCCCCCGAGCCGTTTTATTGGATATGCTGGTTCAAATTAAAAGTATTGAAATTAAGATGCAAAAAGTTACCAATTTTTTTCAGGTCTGATTTAAAAATGATTTTGAAATGGTTGCGATATTTTAAAACTTTTAAGATGTAGCGATTTAAACATCTGAAGGCTTCATTTTTTCTGCAGGCATGCATATTAGTTTCAAATTTCAAAATCAATGCACGCGGTTTTGTGAAAGTTAACGCCAAGTAGCTGTATGTCTTTTGTTCAGGCTTTTAGAAACATTTACTTCAAAACTCAACCGTGCAATTAGGGCCTACTACGTCAAACTTTATTTAATGTCTAATTTTCTTCACTTGAATGTTTAATCTTGTTGAAAAAATTGTTAATTTTGGCCCAAGCCCCAAAGAAAATTGTTGCTGTAAATTTTTCCGCTCTATGAAATTTTTCAGTAAACATTCGTTTTTTTTACAAAAAATTAATGTTAGTGTTGCTTTTCAAGAAAAAAAATTCTTGCAAAACGGACAGAGCACCTTCTGGAAGCAAAATAATAGACTAATAAAGTTACGAGTAGATGCATGTTTTGTATTTTTGATAGATAGAGCAATTTTACAGGTAGTGAAAAAATATTGAGAAAAAACGATTAATTCTGCAATATGATTAAAACTCTGCATTATCTGCTGCTCTATAAAAAATTCTGCTCTAAAAGCCGAATTCTGCTAATTCTGCTCAACTTTGCTGTCAGCAGAATTTTTTGGGGTCTGGTTTTGGCCGAATACTTCGGGTGACAGGAACTTAGACGAAGCCAAATTAGACGGCTCCAATAGAACTGAATTCAGACGTTAAACAAAGCTAGCCTTTTGGACAAAAACGAAAAGCTAACAAGGTTGCTCGTATCAGGGCGTAACCCTGAATGTTCTGACTGCCTTCTAAGTTCTATGGAGCAGTAATAATTTGAAAAATTAAAAGGGAAAAAAATTAAGTTTTTTTAAAAAAGTGATAAACAAAGTGATAAAAACTGATAAAAAAGAAGAACAAAGTGATAAATTTTGCTCCCACTAACAAATCAATTATGGCATATAAGCTTCCTTGAACCAATTTGCAACGATTTCTAAGACGGAATAAATCTCCACTAACGCGTCAATAGCGCGAAATATATATTTTTCCCAAATTGGCCAAAATGGCAAGAAAACAATAGTTTTTGAGTGGTCTAAAAAAATTTTGTCAAAAATGGCCAGTTAAAATGTCGAACTTTGTCTGAAAAAAAACCCACCCCAAGCACGAATATTCCGTTGCTTTCGTTACGAAAGTCAGAACAATGAAGTTTATCACTGAAAAAATTTCACGAATAAGAAAAGGTATATAATTTCACTGAATATCAAAATTTTTAGAAAAAAAAGAAATATCAAACATTGATCCGAATATTGTTAAACATTCTTGAATTGCGTAAGTTAAACAATTACTTTATGTGAAAACTTGATTTACAATTAAGAAAGCTCAAATTATATTAATTCAAGCCAGTAAAAATTTGAAAAAAAAACAACTACTTCTACTTTCTTATAATTAAAGCTTTAAATTCCTTTTTTGGTCTGGTCTATTTTGCTGACGTCTCATTTCCTAGGCCCCATGTTTTTGTTTTTTTTTGTTCTAAAGTGTTGATTATATTTTGGAGTGATTCGTTCCATGATTTTGTACATAATCTGTGAAGAGAAACTTTTGATCAGTAGCTTACGTATACTCCTGCCGTCTACTTTCTTATAATTAAAGCTTTAAATTCCTTTTTGGTCTTGTCTATTTTGCTGACGTCTCATTTCCTAGGCCCCATGTTTTGTTTATTTTTTGTTCTAAAGTGTTGATTATATTTTGGAGTGATTCGTTCCATGATTTTGTACATAATCTGTGAAGAGAAACATTTGATCAGTAGCTTACGTATACTCCTGCCGTGTTCCTTTTTCAGCCTATTGAGGATTATATATTTTTTTGCTTTTGATTCCTCTCGTATGAAAGTTTGTTTTTGCGGATAATTTCAATAAACCAAAATTTATTTTCAACAAATCTGCTGGAAAAATACGAATTTTCAGAAACAGATCATGTGGGGGGCAGCTGTCTTATAGTTTCTTGTGAAACAAATTTTAGATCTACGTATCAACCTCCCCCTCCCTCTCTATCAAACTTTTGCATCCCAGCATGTAATATCCATAACAGTAATTTAACAATAACGCGGATTGTACGAGTTTTTCAAATTACGTTTTAGCGACGCATTTAATTTCCAGCAATCAGATTCGTTGATTGTGATTTCTGGTTTGCCCAGTTTGAAATTGTAAATAGAAACTGACCGAATTCTGCGTACCATTTTTTAAAAAACATTTATTTAGTTCGCTTTCGGAGTTCAATTGTCACTTATTTATCCGCCAAGATGTCTTGCTGAGTCATCGGTCGTTAATTTTTATATCACAAAAATTTTTGTATCATAAGTTTTTAAACCTGATACTCTCAGTTCTTATGATCATTTTATGTCAAGAAGACATACGAAGAAATGACGTAGTGTCTAACTTAATTTTGGTTCTTCTGCTCTTTAAAAAATCGACAGCTGATTAATTGTTGCAATTGTTGTTACTTCACATATAGCATCAGATGGTTTATATCATATATTGCCTCCCGGTCGCCGAATATGGATAAGTGGAGCGACACTGGTTGAGACATCTGGGAGAGGCTTGAAGAACTTGGCATTCAGAATAGATGGAGACACATTCAACAGTTTGTACATCTCATGCTGTGCCATCATATCAGCTAGCACCTCATCCTTCCTAGGCTCCTCAGGCGGCTCATTTTCCTCCAGAAATTTGTTCACTAGGTGTACTCTGTTAGGGTATTGGACCAACTGCTCCGACATTCCATCAGAATAGTTGGAACCGCTTTTTAGAGTGATTCCCCCATTCAAAGGGTAAATACCAGTGCGAGGGCATAGAGCTGGTCGTCGTTTAGTTAAGACTTTGTTTCGAGGAGTTTCTAATAGCTCATCCGAGTCAAATAGTTGTCTTTCTTGACTTGAATAGCCTGAAATGCCAAAAATTAAAAATTTGAAATTCAAACTTCATTTTCTAATTTTTCCGCAAAGTGACGACACATAGTGGCTGTAATTACCCAAATTATTAGGACAAAAACAATTAAATTAAAATTGCTACTTTTTTAAAATTGAAATGACATGCTTCTAAATTTTTAGCATCCGATTTTTGATAATCTTTTGAAATATATTTGAAAGCAACCTGGTTGGAAAACTTGCAGATGGAATTTGAAGGCCGTCTGCCACTCGAAGTACTTTTTGTCGGGATCTTTCAACGCCGACGTGAGATTGAAATCTCGCTTGCGAATCAGGTACTGCAGATCTGCCTCGTCTGAAACAAATAAAACTCACAATTAGTTTCCAAAGAACCCAAAACATAAATTGTAATCCGGAGCTGAGCTTACCTGTGTCAGGGAAGTATTTGGCAAAAACAGGAGTAAGGAACCAAACATCATCCATTGGCCTCAAATCTAGAATATTCTAAAACATTTAGAGCAGACTTCTTAGGAGAATATAATGAAAACATCTAGATACATACCTCTACTGCGTTGTCTGAAACAGCACAACTTTTTAAACTCAAAACAACTCAATGAAAAGTTCACACAGCAGTGATATGCAAAATGATCATACATCGATGAGTTGGAAATTGTCAGGTTAGTTCTGTTGTTCATAGTAGACATTTGTAGATTCTTATTGTGTCCCTCATTCGTTCGCATCACCGGAGTGTTGGCTGCTGTGACGTCAGGAGTGAGACAGTGGTTGTCGATGGGGAGAAGACTGGTTGTTCCACTGGATCCCTGGGTATCGACAGATAATGAGAATGTGGCTTTTGGGTTCCGGGGGTAGTTGTCTCTCACTTCAATCAGGTTCACAGTCGGGCCTGAAAAAGATGTGATAATCTGTTATTATCCCAAATCTGGGGATGACGAAGTACTGACACATCATTCAGAGGATCAGTAGCCTACAGTAATCCTATTCTAAAGTTGTGGATCAAGACTATAAAAACGTGATTCCGCATTGCAGTTTCTAATTATCTAAAAGTTTGTTTATGGTGATAATATTTTCGTACAAAAAAAAACATAGTTGCTGTTGCAGGGGGCGGATATGAAACTTTCAAAATAATGTCAAACTTTTTTATGTCAACCAAATTGAAATTCTAAGCTCTCCCAAACCCCTATTAACACAATTTTTACCCAATTTTCAGAGCCGCAGGCTTATTTTTGAAAAAAAAATCGTCCAAAAAAATGTTTATGGACACTTTTTGGAACATTTTTTTACCAAAAATTGCGTTTTCTGGCGCGCGCTCCCCCTCAAAATTAGTATATGTTAGCGCCGAAGTCGCTTTTTGAACTTTTTATGGCCGAAAATGGATGTCTTGAGTTAGCATCAAAAGGGGAATTTTTGGGTTGTCAGGGGTTCGAATCCTTGAGGGGGTTAACTGGGCTGTTTAACTAAAATATATACCAAGTTCCCACCGTAAATAAATCTCGCCAAATGTAAAATAATTTAAATTTTTTTCAGAGTTTACCTGTTGTTGTTGGCTCCAAAGTTTGCTCCCTGTCATTTTCTTTTATTATGTTGTTCTCCCAATATTCCTCACTGTTTCGCCGTATCCCAAACGACTTCAGTATGTTCTCCTGATCGAACAGTTGACCCCCCTCGTCACTGAACTGGGGGATGCTCTGTAGTTTCCAGAAAGTGTTCTCCAATCTACTCAAGGATTCTTGGTCTTCGACTATCTCCGTTCGATGAATACTGTTTGAAGCAGGGAATCTGGTATAATAATCGGGGCGGCCAACGATCATTTTGAGAACTTATCAATACGCGGAAACAGTAGATCTGCAATGTGCATTGAATCAAAAGCCGACTTTCAAGCGTGCCTTTTCTTGTTAAATTTGGTCTAATACTTAAACAGGTGCGCGAGTAATCCCCTCATCAGAGAAGATTATGCAAGAAACCAGTTAAACAATAATGAAGGAAAATTTGATTAAATTGTTCAGTAGCGTCTTTCTTCTGTCCCCTGAATTCTGATTGTTATTGTTCCTACTTTAAAAAAAACGGAATATTTATGCTTCAGTCAATTTTTATAAGGAGCTCAAATGTAATTGACTGCCGTCTTTCCCTGCCTTCGTAAAGTTATGAGGGTTTGAAAATTGAAAATTTGGGAATAATGCGCGATATATTGCTTTTTTATATTGCGGTGGATTAATTGGTTCCTAATCTAATTAAAGCAAACTCTTTAGTCCTAGCATTCGGACAGACGCTAAATACATTCCTTTTTAGTTTAAATTAACGTACGTCGACTAAAAAGTTTTCTCGATTGTTTCGTTAATTTTTTCATTAAAAAAAAACATTTTAATTGGCCTTAAAGAGCAGTCGGAACATTCAGGGCATCGCCCTAACATACGAACAGTCTTGTTATTTTTTCAAACTGTTCCCTTTTGATTAAACTTTGCGAATACTATCATTCTGGTTTTGGCTTTGAGTTGAACTCAAAAATAATGATCCTCACAACTCTAAATAAAACCATGGCCACTGTGTTAGAAGAAGTGATTAAGAAGTTGTTTTCAGTAGCTGTAGCTTGCAAAAAAGTGACCCAATCTCATCCCTCTGGCCCTAACTGTTCTAAATCTGAAGATGACTTGCTATAGGCGTGTGTGCAGTGTGTGTGCGTAGCGTGGAGTGCAGTGGTGAATGTGGTGGTGATGGCCGCTGTCTACAGGAGTCCCCCTCTCCACTCCATCATCAACTACTTCATATCCTCACTAGCACTTGCCGACCTCATGGTAGCTATGCTCTCTATTGGTTCACCCCTCTCTATTTCCCCCCTGGGAAAGCTTCTTGACCAGCTTTTACTCCCCCTTACCTTCCTCTAGAATTATGATCAAATTTTTTTTTTGCAATTTTATATTATTTTTTTTTGGCTTCCGGCCTTAAGGCGCCTTCAAAACCTGTTACTAAATGAATTTAGATGCATTTTGAAATCAAAAATGTATTCAGATTAAAAAAATCAACTTGGATCAGTCTTATGACCTCTTTTCACAACCGGAAAAAAATCAATTTGGACCGATTTTGAATCGATTTAAGCTGATTTAAATTCCAAACCGGAAAAGAAATAAATTCGATCGATTTCATTTTGATTTTGACTAATCTCACAACAAAACCGGAAGAAATCAATTTGGATTGATTGTAAATCAATTTAGCTTTGTTTTTGAGATGACTTGTTTCGATTTAAAACGATATAATTCAGTTTAAATCAATTTTAACTCTTTTTTATTACTTATTTTATCCAATATTCAGTAAAAAAAAATTAAATTAGAGTCTTGCGGTTAACTTTTGAAACTGATAATTGGTCTGAAATAAAAGACTATAAGTTAAACTAATTAGGTAATTTTCATATAAATGTTGCAAATGTTTCATTTTATCAGTTTTTTTTGTTGGTTTTCTTTCACTTCAATTTTTTTATAGTTGAAGAGAACATCAGATTGCAAAAATTGATAAGATTCTAAGAAGCATTTTTTGCGATTAACAATTTTTCAGGTGATTTTCCTTAGATCACTATTACGCTCTAACTCAAATTTTTGCTCAAAATTCTGAGCAAAATTTAAATTAGAACAACTAAAAAATAGCTTGAGAGTAGAAAATTGGTATTCTTAAAAAATACACATAGTTTAAATTTATTTCGCCGATTAAGTAACCAATAAATTCTCATCAAATTGATTTTTAGACACTTGGTTCGATGCCATTTTTTCAAGCACTCAAAAAGTGCAACATTTTTTTGTCAACTCATCCCAATGAATCTGAAAAAAAAACAAATTTATTGGCAAAATTGTTATAAAAAAGGCATTACGAGGTCAAATTATTCATTTTGTGAACTGTAAGTGGGTTACGCAACCGGCCAAAATCCGCAAAACTTCTACATTTTTTTTTTAAATGTTCGTTGCTCTTTTGGATCTCTCTAACAAATAGCTTCAACGCTGTTTTGTTCAAAAGTGCTCCAAACGCATCTTGTTTCCCGAATTCGTAATAAAAATTGCGGGATCTGGAACAGTTTGTGAAATCCACAAACAAATTAGTATATATTTGTGTAGTAAAATAGAGCTGTCGAGGAATACACAACTGCTAGCGGAACCCGTAAATTGTGAGCGGAATCCCCAAATTTTAAGCATTATCGGGAAAGCATAAGCGGAATCTGAAATTCAATTGTGGAGTCTAGCAACATATGTTAGTTTAGGTAAAAACAAAATTGCGGAATCCACCTCTATTTTGCGGTATTGGCTTACATTTTGCGGACTTTGCTTACATTTGCTTAGAATCTTCAGAATTGCTTACATTTGCTTAGACATTTGCTTAGAATCCTGAATCCATAATTGAAAAACTTTTTCGTGCAACAAACAGTTGCCATCTAATTTTTCAGAGCCAAAAAAACATGTAAAATACTGACAAAAAATGCAAAAAAAAGGCAAACGCGAGACCTTAATGAAAAATTTTGATCTAGTTTAAAATCGAACATCAAATTTATAGTTAATTCAAATTGTTGGCAAAATTGGTGACCCTGAGCAAATTGATTGGTCAAATCTATAGCATTTTTTGTTAACCAATATTTTGTAAACAATTTTTACAAGTGAAAATCAATGGTAAACTAAAATTCCATGCCGAATTGCGCAGTCTCAGGTTGAGTATCTTCGCTCAGATTTGTTGACTAAAAACTGTATAGCTTTTAACAATTTTATCGGACAAAGCCTTAAATTTTATAAAACTTATGACCTTGAGACAATGAAATGGCATTAAAACTACAATCGCATTTTCAAAACTGCATTTAAACTGTGACAAGAGCAAGACAAAATGATTTGTTCGTGGATTTTATTGATAACGGCTCATTGACAACAAGTTCTTGCTTTTAAAAGCTGCTTTTGCCAGATATTAATTCTAGCTTTCTTTATATTTTGTTCACGCACAAACTTACGTCAAGGTAAAAAATATAACTGCGGAATCCGCTTACTTTTTGCGGACCGCTTACATTTTGCGGAATTTGCTTACATTCGCGGCATCCAGAAGAACTAGTTATATGCGTTGGTTACGGAGTCCGCTAAAAAACTAATAGTTAAACAAAATTTCAAAATTTCGGTTACACGTATTTGTACGCGGAATTTTATGAAATTTTGTAAGTAGGATCCAAGTTGGTAAGTTTTCTCTGGATTCCAGTGATCTGCAGACGCCAAAATGTGCGCTAATCTAGTGCAGAGTTTGGCCTCATAATGACGTGGAGCGGCAACACCCATGACATATAAGGATTTTAGTGAATTCAGAAAAGGCAATCCACTCTAGCTGTAAAGCACTTGTTTTGAACTGATATTCTTCTGATTTTTTAAAAGAGGGTCAAAATTCAATTGAAGAATGGACAAACGTAGGTATCTATAAGAGTGCTCATTTATCTCATTTATAATATATCTGAAACCAGTGATACTGTTTCTCTGTTGATATGGCTCTGAACAAATGTATCACACAACGTGTTTAGTTTTTGAAATAATTCTGACCTTGAGACAAAGAAAGGGCAGTATAACTGCAATCGAATTTTCAAAACTGCATTTGAACAGACGATAAAGCAATTGCAAAATGATTGCGTTTTTCGGGGCATTTTTGTGCCTTTTTTCAAAAGCATAATTGAAAAACTTTTTCGTGCAACAAACAGTTGCCATCTAATTTTTCAGAGCCAAAAAAAACATGTAAAATACTGACAAAAAATGCAAAAAAAAGGCAAACGCGAGACCTTAATGAAAAATTTTGATCTAGTTTAAAATCTAACATCAAATTTATAGTTAATTCAAATTGTTGGCAAAATTGGTGACCCTGAGCAAATTGATTGGTCAAATCTATAGCATTTTTTGTTAACCAATATTTTGTAAACGATTTTTACAAGTGAAAATCAATGATAAACTAAAATTCAATGCCGAATTGCGCAGTCTCAGGTTGAGTATCTTCGCTCAGATTTGTTGACTAAAAACTGTATAGCTTTTAACAATTTTATCGGACAAAGCCTTAAATTTTATAAAACTTATGACCTTGAGACAATGAAATGGCATTAAAACTACAATGGCATTTTCAAAACTGCATTTAAACTGTGACAAGAGCAAGACAAAATGATTTGTTCGTGGATTTTATTGATAACGGCTCATTGACAACAAGTTCTTGCTTTTAAAAGCTGCTTTTGCCAGATATTAATTCTAGCTCTCTTTATATTTTGTTCACGCACAAACTTACGTCAAGGTAAAAAAATATAACTGCGGAATCCGCTTACTTTTTGCGGACCGCTTACATTTTGCGGAATTTGCTTACATTCGCGGCATCCAGAAGAACTAGTTATATGCGTTGGTTACGGAGTCCGCTAAAAAACTAATAGTTAAACAAAATTTCAAAATTTCGGTTACACGTATTTGTACGCGGAATTTTATGAAATTTTGTAAGTAGGATCCAAGTTGGTAAGTTTTCTCTGGATTCCAGTGATCTGCAGACGCCAAAATGTGCGCTAATCTAGTGCAGAGTTTGGCCTCATAATGACGTGGAGCGGCAACACCCATGACATATAAGGATTTTAGTGAATTCAGAAAAGGCAATCCACTCTAGCTGTAAAGCACTTGTTTTGAACTGATATTCTTCTGATTTTTTAAAAGAGTGTCAAAATTCAATTGAAGAATGGACAAACGTAGGTATCTATAAGAGTGCTCATTTATCTCATTTATAATTTATCTGAAACCAGTGATACTGTTTCTCTGTTGATATGGCTCTGAACAAATGTATCACACAACGTGTTTAGTTTTTGAAATAATTCTGACCTTGAGACAAAGAAAGGGCAGTATAACTGCAATCGAATTTTCAAAACTGCATTTGAACAGACGATAGAGCAATTGCAAAATGATTGCGTTTTTCGGGGCATTTTTGTGCCTTTTTTCAAAAGCATAATTGAAAAACTTTTTCGTGCAACAAACAGTTGCCATCTAATTTTTCAGAGCCAAAAAAAAACATGTAAAATACTGACAAAAAATGCAAAAAAAAAGGCAAACGCGAGACCTTAATGAAAAATTTTGATCTAGTTTAAAATCGAACATCAAATTTATAGTTAATTCAAATTGTTGGCAAAATTGGTGACCCTGAGCAAATTGATTGGTCAAATCTATAGCATTTTTTGTTAACCAATATTTTGTAAACGATTTTTACAAGTGAAAATCAATGATAAACTAAAATTCAATGCCGAATTGCGCAGTCTCAGGTTGAGTATCTTCGCTCAGATTTGTTGACTAAAAACTGTATAGCTTTTAACAATTTTATCGGACAAAGCCTTAAATTTTATAAAACTTATGACCTTGAGACAATGAAATGGCATTAAAACTACAATCGCATTTTCAAAACTGCATTTAAACTGTGACAAGAGCAAGACAAAATGATTTGTTCGTGGATTTTATTGATAACGGCTCATTGACAACAAGTTCTTGCTTTTAAAAGCTGCTTTTGCCAGATATTAATTCTAGCTCTCTTTATATTTTGTTCACGCACAAACTTACGTCAAGGTAAAAAAATATAACTGCGGAATCCGCTTACTTTTTGCGGACCGCTTACATTTTGCGGAATTTGCTTACATTCGCGGCATCCAGAAGAACTAGTTATATGCGTTGGTTACGGAGTCCGCTAAAAAACTAATAGTTAAACAAAATTTCAAAATTTCGGTTACACGTATTTGTACGCGGAATTTTATGAAATTTTGTAAGTAGGATCCAAGTTGGTAAGTTTTCTCTGGATTCCAGTGATCTGCAGACGCCAAAATGTGCGCTAATCTAGTGCAGAGTTTGGCCTCATAATGACGTGGAGCGGCAACACCCATGACATATAAGGATTTTAGTGAATTCAGAAAAGGCAATCCACTCTAGCTGTAAAGCACTTGTTTTGAACTGATATTCTTCTGATTTTTTAAAAGAGTGTCAAAATTCAATTGAAGAATGGACAAACGTAGGTATCTATAAGAGTGCTCATTTATCTCATTTATAATTTATCTGAAACCAGTGATACTGTTTCTCTGTTGATATGGCTCTGAACAAATGTATCACACAACGTGTTTAGTTTTTGAAATAATTCTGACCTTGAGACAAAGAAAGGGCAGTATAACTGCAATCGAATTTTCAAAACTGCATTTGAACAGACGATAGAGCAATTGCAAAATGATTGCGTTTTTCGGGGCATTTTTGTGCCTTTTTTCAAAAGCATAATTGAAAAACTTTTTCGTTCAACAAACAGTTGCCATCTAATTTTTCAGAGCCAAAAAAAAACATGTAAAATACTGACAAAAAATGCAAAAAAAAAGGCAAACGCGAGACCTTAATGAAAAATTTTGATCTAGTTTAAAATCGAACATCAAAGTTATAGTTAATTCCAAATTGTTGGCAAAACTGGTGACCCTGAGCAAATTGATTGGTCAAATCTATAGCATTTTTTGTTAACCAACATTTTGTAAACAATTTTTACAAGTGAAAATCAATGATAAACTAAAATTCCATGCCGAGTTGCGCAGTCTCAGGTTAAGTATCTTCGCTCAGATTTGTTGACTAAAAACTGTAGAGCTTTTAACAACTTAATCGGACAAAGCCTTAAATTTTATAAAACTTATGACCTTGAGACAATGAAATGGCATTAAAACTACAATCGCATTTTCAAAACTGCATTTAAACTGTGACAAGAGCAAGACAAAATGATTCCGCTTTTTCGGAGATTTTCATTTTTGCTTAATTTCAAGAGCACAGCTAAAAAAACTTTTTCATTCAACAACGATTTGCCATGTAATTTTGCTGAGCAAAAAAAATAAAACGCCGACAAAAAGGCAAACGCGAAACTTCAAAAAAGTATTTCGATTTAGTTTACTTTTAAAGGCCAGAACTTTTCAAGAAATTCAATACGTTTTCCGATAAACTTGTTAAAAGCTATAACTGCTCACTTTTTGAATGTGTGTGTTGTGCAGGTGTCGATAAACATCATGCCGTTTGCAGTAGCGCTGTACCTGAGTGGGGAGAGGGGGTGGGTGTTTGGGGGGCTGTTCTGCACCCTGTGGACCAGTGGGGACATCCTCTGCTGCACTGCCTCCATACTCCTACTCACAGCCATAGCACTAGACAGGTAGTCAGCTCCTTATCAGTAATTTCAAAGAGGCCCCAAAAAGCGCTTTTCAATATCTTTGTTGAAATAAGCTCGTAGTTTCTTGATATCATATCCCATTTGCTGAAATTTTTTGTCTTAAAATGAGAGCTTCTCTCAAAACATTTTCGGTACCCAGAGGTGTTTCGACCTTTCTCTGGGCCTCTTTTTTGAGTTTTTGGCTTTGAGCTAAGCCTGGTTTCAGCAATTTTGAAAAATGCGGATACGTTTGTTTTCTCTTCAGACACTGGGCGGTGTCTGACCCGGTGGACTACCGAGAGAAAATGACGGAGAGGCGATGCAGTGTCATCATCGCCTTCGTCTGGATCTTCTCCACATTCCTCGCTCTGGCCCAGATACTGTGGCGCTTCATCATCGAGACAGCGAGGGACAGACGGACGTGTACCTACACCATCGACAGGGAGTTCCGAATTGTGTCCAGTTAGTACACAACTCAATCATTAAAATAGTCGCGGAATGTTTGAAAAAAAGGCGCGGCATGGTCCGAAAAAAAAATCCTGCGTCGAACTCAGTCGAAACGTTTTTTTTCCAGTCGTTTTTTCCCCGATTGCCGTTAAATGCCCTTTAGTCGCGCCAGTTACGGACACATTGCCTTGGTCTGCAAACTCAGGAAATACCAAAATTTGGTCGCCGTGGTCTGCAAATATTCAATTTCGGTTGCGGCACTCTGGAAATATCAAAACTTAGTCGCGATCGTCTGATCATAAAAGCACAACCTCGACCCGGGCTAAACTGTATATTATTTCAGGCATGAGTTCGTTCTTCGTGCCTCTTACAGTCTTGATCTTCACGTATATCAACATTATCACAATTGCGAGGTCAAACCGCAACAACGTCAACCAACAGCCCCGTGGCTACTTTGGATCATTAACAGGACATGACGTGGAAGAGAGGAACACTTACAGTCGTTCTTGGAACAACTTGGTGACGAGTCACGCTGAGACAGCGAAAGACATCGTCATCAGTACAACAGAGGAGCTCTCCAGTGAACTATTGCAAAAAGGGCAGAGCAAAAATGAGGAGCTGGATGGTCCGACTCGAGCTTTTCAACAAAGTCCGCAGTTAGTAACCAAAAAAAACACAGTAGTTCCCGAAATATATTTTTTCAAAGGGAGAAACAAGAGCCGTCAAAACCTTACGCCATTGTGCTCGAATTATGTCTCTTGAATTCAGCAAAAAAAATAAAATTTCCACTTCTCGACTCATCCTGCATAACTCGAGCGTACATTTTGCTTGAAAAACTCAATACAGGGCCGTATTACTTTGCATAGTATAAATGCCATAATTCTGCAGTTTTTTAATTAATAATGCGGAACCCGCAAATAAGGTATAATCGTTCGTTTTTTTTTGGAAAGTGCGTTTTTTGAAATCTTAAGATTTGACCGAATTGTTATCCGTTTGAACAATCCACTTTGCTCGTTTTTTTAAAAATGCTGTGTATGCTGACATTAAAATCAATACCGCTCGAATCAGGGTAAAGCCTTGAAAAATCCGATTGCCTTAAATAAAATATGTCTAAGTTAATTTTTCCAATCTTTGAGAAAACTGCTGTTTCAGCCTACGCGTTGCCAAAATTAGCGCAAATTGATAGCACAATTCGACTAAACTGCCAAGGTTTAAGAACCCAAAAGCTGCCAAAAAATAATCCCAGGCAAAATATTTCCCCTATTTTGAATATAGGGCTTTGATATCTTTCTGATAAAAAATTATATTCTCCCAAAAACTGTTATTTAGAGAATTTTATTCTAAGAAAACACTCAGAACTTGATAATTCTTTCCCTGCATGCTTCAAAAATCGGAACAAAAGGTGTGATTCTTTTTTTACTGTTTTTGGGGTCAATATCGCTAATTAGCTTTCTGTCAAGAGTATGTTTCTGAAAAACAAGAGAAAAATGCCCAATAACAAGCCAAAATGCCTCAAAATAGTATGAAGTAGCGCCAAGGGGTTTTAAGAGCATTTTAGGGTCCTTGGACCAAAAATGGATGCCTAGAAACTGTACCAAAAATACTTGAAGCCTCACAAATTATCTCGTATGAATATTTTCTCGGATATTTTTTCGACAAAGGTTTGAAAAATGTTGCCCAAAAAGTTTTGACCAAAAGAAAGAGTTTATTCAGAAAAATAATAACTTATCTGGTCAAGAAGATTAAAAACGAAACTAGCTGCAAATCGGAATAAAAAAAATTTAAGAAATGTAAAACCAACAAACTCCTTTCAACCCTAGAGTCCCGAAAAACGAAAGAACAAAATTTTTTGATATACATCTGAGTATTGTTTCAGCTGCTCGTCCAGTTTGTTCAGCCTGGAGAAGGAAGAGTTGCGCACGGCCAAACTGATCGGCTTAGTGATCATCTGCTTCGTGGTCTGCTGGCTGCCCTTCTTCACCCTCTACGTATTAGAGGCGTTCTGTGTCTCCTACAAGGACATACCAGTTCAAGTAAGGCCTCAGTATGACGAGATATAAGATTGAAACAAGGATGGCCGGTTACTGTGCAAGTAGCACAGAATGTTCCGACCATAACCATGAAAAAAAATACAAAACAAAGTTTTTGCCAAATTCGAGTCATTCTTTTCTGTGTGGTGTGATAAAAAGATGTGAATAGAATAATCACATTTAGGCATATTAGGAAATCAAAATAAAATGGGCCTGTTAGAAAAATGACTACAAGAACAAGAAAAAAAAGAATCGTAGAATAAAATTTTTAAAAATTTTCAGAAGTTTTTTTAAAATATTTGTGCAGCATTTTTTTTGAATGTTTGAAGTTTTTGATTAACATAATGGTAATAAAAACTCGCCGAACTAGCTTTAATTGAGTAAAACGAAGTTTTCATGGCCTAAATTAAGCATAAATAGACTATTGTAAGCCTAAACGCTCACCTAATTAGCTCAAAATTAGAGTAAAAACAAAAACTTCAAGCCATTTTTTCTCGACACTAAGTAAAATTTTGTATTAAATTTGAGTCACGACTGAAAAAATTTTAATGTTATATCACTCAACCAAGTCCGATGATTACTTGTGGACCTGATTTTCCGTGGACAACAAAAAAAACAAGGATAGCCGGTTACTGTGCAATTAGCACAAAATTATCCGACCAAAGTTAAAAAAGTACAACAAAGAGTGTTTTCAAACTAGAGCCGTTTAATTTCAGCGTAGTGTGATAAAAAGAGTTTAATAAAAATCAAAAGATTAGGCATATTCGACATCATTAGCAAATTGAATAAGCAAATTGAAAAGCAGTTTTCCAGAAAAATGACTAGATAAACCTTGCAGTTTTTTGATTGTTTGAAGTTTGATTCCAAAAAGGCGCTAAAATACTCAAATCAACTAACATTAATTGACAAACTTAAATTTGACGTTTTTGAAGTTTGATTCCAAAAAGTCTCTAAAATACCAAAAAAAAATAACGTTACTCGTATTTTTTTTTTGTTTTGAATTAAGCTAATGCAAGCTTTTAACCCAATGAAAAAAGCCTGCTCGCTCACTTTATTCTTTCAAATTAACCAATGAGGGTTTTAATATGATATTTCACTCAAATTTCTTCGATTATTTTTTGTGGTAGCTGATTTTTTGCGGGGGAAAAAAGAAAAAAACTTAAAAACATCCGAATACAAAGTTTCTCGCTACTTTTGAAATGGTCGGAAAAAACTGAGCGCTGCTTAAAATGGATCAACGACCATGTTTGAACATCATTTATGACGAAAAAAGCTTAGCTTAGCAATTTCCAGCATGCAATATCCGACAAAAACACGCTTGGCTAGCATTTGATACGGAACTTTTTGTTTCTGGATTTATGAATTTTTCAAATTAGGTACGTGGTCGGCAATTCAAATAAAAATACAAGAAAATTTAATTTGAAAAAAAAGAGACAGAGCGGAGCTTTGCTTATTCTGATCAATGTCTGATTAAGTAAAATATCAGTTTTTTTTTAAAAATCATCTATGAAAATTTTTGCCAAAATTTAAAAGTTTGATGATTTCATTATATCATTTGTGTAAAATAATTCTTGGGCAATTCAGCTGGTTTCCAATGCCTTGTTATGGAAAGACGTTCGAACCTTTAGTGATTCTACTTTTGAGTAAACCATGGTTTGTGTCTTTTGTGTTCGGTTACGAACACATCCCAAAAACTTTGAGAAATTAAATTTAAAAAATCAAATTTTTTGGTTCATGGAAAAATGCTAGTCATTCAATTTCCATATCTGAAAAATCCTTAATCATAGACCTTTCATGCAAATTTTAGTACTTATGGAATTGCATAAAAAAAGTGTGACTAGCGTTTTCCCAGATATGCAAATTGTATAATTAGCATTTTTGGTCAACCCGGACGAATACAAACTCCCGCCACCATTTTTCAAATAGTCGGAACAATAAACTTACTAGAATACGAAGTTCTTCCCCATTTTTAAATGATCGGAACAATAAACCCCATATGTTTTAACTGAAAAAAAACTCAGTTGCAAAATCGGAATTGATTATTCCGTTTATGCATTTCAAAATCTAAATGCACGAATCGTATAGTCTTTATTTTCAAATTTTGTTTTTCCGAAATTATGTGCTTCGAAATTCTTCCGCATCGAAAAAAATAACTCCAACTTATTTTTGATTTTGACAATTCCTGCAGGTTTCTCTATTATGCCTGTGGCTTGGGTACGCCAAGAGTGGCTTGAATCCAATAGTCTACTTCTTCTTCGACGAGTCACACAGAAAGGCATACAAGTCCCTGTTCCTGTACGTGTTCTCCTGTTGCGGCGGCCGACCAGCTCATTACGTCATCTCTTTCCGAATCCCACCACCCTCTGCTCTCCTATCGCCCAACACCTATCTGAGTAAACTGCATCACGTCGAAAGGGATGCGTTTGATGCTGCAATGATTGAGAACAACTTTGCTGTTGATTCTGAATTATGTCTGCACCAAAGCATTTCAGAGAGCAAAACGCAAAAGATAATATTTCACGACAAGTCGCCTTCGTCGCGTAGAAACTTCGCTTCAAATATCTTCACGTTTGGCAGTCACCAAAACATACAACAACAGAATCCGAGTTCTAACCATAACAGCAGAAGACACGACATTAGATTTGTTTCGGACTCAACAGCAAGTAGGATTATTTTCAGTCCTGTTTTGTCGGAACATGACAGGGAAGTAACAACAGGTAGTCCCCCAGGTAACTTCTACCGCACCAGTCCCCCAGAGTTAGGGGCACTAAGAGCTCAGAATGACTCTATCGGGAGCAACTCTGTCTTTAGTTCCCCTTTTTTGGGGAGACATGAAGAAGGACAGAAAAGTAGTCAACACTTTTCGAGCCAGATCAATCTAGCTCCCCATGGATTTACAAATGCCACTTTGATCACATTGGACAGATACTGTCACCAGCGAGTGATGGTCAATGAAGAACGAAGCAACGTCAAGGCCGAATCAAACGTATAAACTGACAGCAGCTGACACATATCGGATTTCAACTATTTACTCATGATTCTTACAAACTTCAATTAGCTCTTTCAATTTTGGTTAAACTCCGGCTAATATGAGGCTACATTTTAGTTTAGTAGCACCAAAGTCTGATTTGATTTTGTTTATCATAAAATTTTTGTGAATGCTCAAGAAACGTCTCAGGAACTCCAGAAGATTTTGACTCATAGCAGACTATTCCAACCGAAATTGATAAAGTTAGTTTGTAATATAAAAATTTTTAAAAAGTTGATTTCCCGTCAATTTTTTTAAAATTTGCTTAGTGACTGGTTATTCAATTCAGCGGCACATTTTCTTTGCGCAATTAAAGTGTCTGAAACTCCATGTTATGGATCGCTGCAAAATAAGAAAAATAAAACTAAAATTTTTATTGGAGTCAATGTGAGCTATTATTTGCCTTAAAACTAGTCATTTGAAGTTTGATTTAATTTACCATACAATACAAAAATTTAATAATTCAATATTAACAGGAGGGTTTTCATAGGAGAAGTACTACTCAACATGCGGGACACCTGAATGGTGAAATGAAGAACGTTTTAGTAGTCTGTAATATCCTTTTGTCGAGGTTTACGGGTACAAGCAAGAAACTGAATGCTATCAACATGAAACGTTTCTGGGTTTCTTCATATAATTATTCCGACAAAAAATAGATGGCGTAATGCCTCCGGCTATACTGAGTGATTGACATGCATTTGTGCCCAATTCGACGTCATTTTTTCTCATGCTGTTTTTGTTTTGCATTGACTTTAACAAGATTTTGAGTATTTCAATGAAAAAGTTTTCAAAAACTGAAAATTTGCCGTTTTCAATCGTGATCTCACGTAAGGCTTCAGATTTTTGTTTGAAAAATATAGCCATATTTACTCTTTTTTCTATTTTTAAATTTCGTTCATGATTTTCTTATGTGCTAAGATACATCAATACCCCAAATTGTTTCACAGTTCTAGCATAAGAATTATAAATATAACTATTTGTTTCTTTGAAAACAATGTCTAGCCTTTTAAACATTTTCACAGAAACTTGCTTGTGACAATGCTTTGAATTTGATGCTTAAGGATAAATTACGATCAAAATCCTCAAACAATTAAGCAAACAACAGAGTTTGTTTTTTCTTCCGAAAGTTCCCATCCGACAGGTTCCCCCCTCCCCCAAAAAATCATGTATTGAACTCTTGACTCGTTGATGATTAATCAGTTCTTTTCAAACCAGCTTCCGCAGCGTTTCAAATTTTTAACAAAAAATCATTTTTGAGTTTGTCAGCATGGAAGTTTGTAATATCGTCTTCAAGCAAAACAGTTTCAACTTCCTTGCAAGACTGTTTGAACTTCCTTGCAAGACAGTTTGAACTTCCTTGCAAGACAGTTTGAACGTCCTTGCACAAAATATGTTAATTTACAGAGTCAAAGTTAAAATCAATGAAATTATGACATTTTCTAATGCGTCTGCACATGATTTTCTACGATAAAAATGCACAATGTAAGCGCGAAATAAGTTTTACCTTCTTGTTAAATTTGAATATTCGTTTATTAATAAGTTTCTGAAAAACTTTCGAAAAGGATGGAAGTTAAGCTAATTATGGAGGTAAGTCCTGTAAATATCACACTCTTTTTGACTTTCAGTTTTGTGAATTGGAAAAACTTTCGCCAAGTTAAAGTGTTTTAGAAAGAAGCATTTTAGTGAACATTCATTAAAATATCCAGCCATAAATTGGCCCACAATAGGTAAAGGATCATTTTCATTATGCATTGGCTCGCGTTCTTGCATATTTTGTTGAAAGTTTGAAAAGAGATTTAGAATGGTCAGCTGTTTGAAATGTTTTATCAATATTTGCTCGTTTTTCAATCGTGATTAGCTTCGTTAACTGAATGCGCTGTTTTAAAAAGGATGACGACCTTTTCAGCATAATCGCTAATCGGAAAGCAGAAAACTCATTTTGGTTCATACGGACAGATCTGATATTTTTGCTTCGTGTGGTTTCGCTGGTTCTTAGTGTCGTCGATGGAGCAAGTTTATTTACCAAAAAAATGAAAAAATCACAAACAACTCAATTTTCGTGTCATTATCAGTAACTTTCAGATTTTTTCCATTCTTTTAAAAATCTTAGGGCCTCAATTTTCCCTATTCATTGCCTAAAAAATCATAGTTCCGATTTTCAAAGTTTTGTTATGAGGCTTTCAAATTCGTTGCATTGGTCAATATAATGGCAACATGCTCGCTAATAGATACTTGAGTTGTTAATTGTCATAGAAAATTAGTATTGATGTGAGTTAAGCATAAGTTTAACGATCTAGTTCCCCCGGTGAGCGAATTTTTTTTAGAACAACACAACACAGCTTTTGACTGCTTAAAAACTTTGACAAACAATCTTCAGCATCCAGAATATCGCAAACAATTCTCCTAATGTAACAACTTCACGCTTAAGCCAACAACTCTGATGAAAATTTCATAAAAGAGATCAAAAACGATCGCATTTAATTGATGACGGACCATGAACCACGCAAAAACGCCTTCTGTTACCATTTATTTCGATGGTTATTGCTAAAAATTTTAAATAACAATCGATTCTATTGATTACACAAATGAGTTCACCGCATTAGTGGAAGTCACAAGCTCCATCTCTCTTTGTTTTCTATTTTTAGTTGAAAGAGGGCCATAATCTTCAAAATTGTAAAACAAAAAATGATAGGTAATTTTTGCTCAGCCAAGTTTGAATATCAAGTTTCTCATCAACCATTTCAATTAAATTCTTTAGTTGATCGTGATGGAATCTCAGTGATTGAATAATAAGGAAAAATGACCTTTTGCTCTCCAAAAAAGACACCTGATCACCCTCGACATCACCAATTATTGTTCCGACTTTCGATACGAAAGTGACGGAATATTTGTGCTCGGGATGGGTTTTTTTTTCTTCAGACAAATTTCGACTTTTCAACTAGCCATTTTTGACGGAATTTTTTTTATATCATTCAAAAGGTATTGTTGTCCTGAGCTTAAATTTGAAAAGATATTTCACCTGTGATCATTTTTTGTAAAGTTATGAGGGTTTAAAAATTGCCATTTTGGCTATTTTGACCAATTTGGGACAATTAACGCGCGATATAGTTCGTGCTATTAACGCGTAAGCGGAGATTTAATCCGTCTTATAAATCGTTCCAAATTGGTTGAACGAAGTTTATTTGCCATAATTGATTTGTTACAAGGAACTAAATCTCTCTTTTTGTACTTTATATGGCGTTTGGGCGTGATTTTCATTAAAAATTTCAAATTTTAGAAAAAAAAATTTCATTTTGTTTTATTTCATTTAATTTTTTAATGTTATTACTGCTGCTCCATAAACCTTAAAAGGCAGTCGGAACATTCAGGGCTTCGCCCTGATACGAGCAGTCTTGTTGCAATTTAGTAACGAAAAAGCTTAGAGATGTTTCTGCTTCTCTGTTACGCTGTTCAGTCCGTATAGGAGGTAAATGTAGCAATATTTTTGTTGAACGCGTAGGCATATAGCCATTTTGATCATCATCAAGGTTTTTCGTCGAAAAAATTGGAGTTGTATCTCGAATTTGTTTTGCTGTTTTTCTTCTTTTTATGCTCCATATGTTTAATTTTTCTGAAACTAAGTCTTCACCTGTATCAATTGCTTTTTTGAAAAAATGTTTTGAAAAATGATTTTTCTGTCAATACTTATTCACCTGTATCAGTTGTTTGGTTTTTAATTTTTAACGGCAGGGTCTGCTGTGTCTGAAGTAAGTGTCACTGTACTGTCGTTCCGAGTTACTAATTTTGACCAGACACAAGTTCACACTCCTGTTTGTCTTCCATGTTGTGATTTGATAAATGCTCATTTATAAAAAGTCTTTTCTTACTCATATTGTTTAAGTACCCTGCCAAAAGTCTTCTCCGTTCAAACAACTTGTCCTTCTCCGCAAAGTATACAAAATTCACAGTAAATTTTGAAACGACCTTACTTCAGTATCACGGCAGTGGGTGGCAGGCCTTTATTGCTCCAAGGAAAAAATGTATTCAAAATAATGTTAAATAAGATTGCAGGACCCGTTTTTTCTAGGTCAGTAATCTCATTTTTCCAAAAATTGATAATTTCTGTTTGATCATTAAAATTTTTGCTTTGTTGGAAACGTTGTTTTTGAGGTAAACCTTTTTTCAGTAAAATTACTGATCAGCTCAGCAAAGTCTGAAATGGTCTCTATCTTATTTTTGTTTAAAAGGGGACAGAAATTTTTGGAGGTTCATTCGTTTTGGGCAAAACTTCAATGATAATCTGTAGCAATTGCAAGCAGAAACAAGAAAATGTTTCTAGTTTGAACGCGCACGAAAAACTTTACTACATATTCGGACAAAAGAACAGATCGCACTAACAAAGCGACGGGTTTTAGCTACTCATTTCGTGTGTGTATTTTTTCATGTAATAATTGAGAAAACTATGCATAAAATTGTTTTTTTTTCCTTTACTTCTTTCAATTTCCATTTGTTGTTGCCTTAAAAGCAATCGACAGATATAGAACGAATTCATGAATACAATTGATTAAAATCATAGGAAAGTTCCATAGCTCACCTTTTTTGGCAGTAGGCTAAAGTCAAAGTTATAATTAATAGATTGATGATAACATATAACTCGTTTTTCATTCTCTTCAACTTTCAAACAATAGTTCTAACTCAGACAAAGTCTCATGTCATCCCAAGCTAGAAAAGGCTGACATTGTGTAGTACGTATAGTTGTCATGGTTTCTTAACATCAATAATAAGAGCGCAGTATAGCATAGAGTGTCAAATTACGGTTCCTCATTGAAAAAAAATTTGATTTGAATTTTTTTTGAAAGATTTTTTGCTGTTTGTACCCGGGTTGAACTCCATACAAAATAATGCTTATCATACAATTCCATCTCTGAGTTTTATGGAAAAAAATGGTTATCATAGGATTTCCATTTATGAAAATTGTTTGATAAGCATTTTTCCACTATTTTTTTTTGTCAGAAAACCTTTAAAAACATTTTTTTTGGTAAGTTTAAATGAGTTCAAATCGCTTTCTGATTAAGTTAGAACAGTTTAATTATATTTTTTTAAAAAAAAACTTGATTACCACATTACAAGGTCAAACTGTGCTTTTTGGGTAATCGAAGCGGATTCCGCAACAAGGACGCTCCCTTTGTTCTTCTTTTATTGTTTCATTTTCATTGAACGTTCCGACAAAATTTTAACAGGTTGAAAGACTTGTCTCTGGAATGCAGGAACATACAGTCACAAAATTGTGCGCTTATCCAGTGCACTGTTTGACCTCGTAATGCATACAATTTCCATTCTGTGAAAATGGTTTGATATTGATTTTTCCATAAACAATTTTTTTTTGCTCAAAAAGTATTTAGGCAAGTTCAAATGAGCTTAAATTTTTTAAATACACTTAAGATCTTTTTGATCATCAAAATTGTACATTGTTTTTCTTTGGTCAAAAAAAATTGTATATCATAGAACTTCTTTTTTATGAAAATGATATGTTAAGTAATTTTTTTATAATTAAGTTTTCGTTCATAAACTCTTCAAAAATTTTTAAGCAAGTTCAGAAGAGTAACTCTCTCTTAGGGTTTCTCGAATTTGAGGACAGGAACCACAGTAACAGAGTTTTAAACCTCAGTAACAGAGTTTTCTGTTGTTTTTATCTTCTGTTGAGAGACTGGCACGTTGGGCTGGGCTAAGATTTAAGTGTTTTCCTCATTTAATTTCTTTGTTTTGCTAATTCAGATATTAAATTTTATACAAAATTCTACCGTGAAAATTTTTTATCATGCCATTCCATTGATGGGAATATCTTTATTATACAATAATCTGGAATGGAAAAAATGGCTATCATACAATTTTATTCTATGGAAAAATGATTATCATGTAATTTTCATACGATTTTTCTATTCTATGGAATTGTATGGAACCGTATTATAACCATTTTTTTTCATATAATAGATTTGTATGATAAGCATTTTTGCCTTCCCGGGTATGTAACCGGTAGAAACTCGAAATGATCGAATGAAAGTAGTGAAAATAATTATTTCATGAAAAACTTTGAAGAGATTATAATCAAATTTCTTCCCTTTTTTCTTGAAAAAAGTAAGTTAGCTCTGCTTGAAGTAATTAATCAAAACGTGAACAGAATACTTTAAATTTTTAAGGGCTGGCTCCCTGAATTGATTTGTGTCAATTTTAAGCATGCACATGTCATTTACATATGTTTTCCAACAGATCAGATCATATATCAAAATTTAATCCAAACATTACTCAGACCCAGATCAGATTAAAATTATACCAGTAAAAACTAAAACTGATGAATTTTGGCTGGATTAAGTGAGCTCTAGTTCAACTTTTAAAAAATAGTCTCCGAATTAGGCAACCTGGCTGGTTTTGATAAGCAAAAACAAATAAGGGGCTTGAAAAATGCAAAATAGATCAAGTTGGGATGATATGGTTGAGTTAGGTTTTCCTTTATCATCAAGCAAAACACAGAGGACAAATTATAACATCTGAAATCTTTTTAAAAGAAAGAAATCAGTTTGGGGTTAATCTTCTGTGGCCACGAAACATCGGAACATCAATTATCAGCTCAAATTATGATGCAAAAGCTAGTATCATTTGCTCGACTTAGTTTTTTTGCGACGAACAATTAATTTGGCCGAAAACCATTACGAGGTCAAACTGCGCATTTTTGTGAACTGTTTGCAGGTTCCGCAACAAGGACTTTCCCTTTGTTCTTCTTTTGTTCTTTCATTCTTTTTGATCGTTCCGACAAAACTTTAACAGGTTTAAAGACTTTTCTCTGGAACTCAGGAACATACAGACACAAACTGTGCGCCTATCCAGTGCACAGTTTGGCCTCGTAATGACAGTTTAGCCGATAATAAATCAGACATTTATGGCAAAATAGACCGAATATTTGGCAAAAACAATTCAGTCAACTTTTCAACTGAGTAACCGGAAGAAGTTAGTTTGAAACGCGGAATTGGCAAATAGAGTGGCATTTCATGTGTCAAGATATGAGCGGGAGATGTTGCTCGCTGAAAGAAGAGCGGGATTATGTTTTTTTTTCGCACAAGATGTAGTGCGCAAGAATCACAATTTGCTGGTCACTTTGTCGACTGGCAAAAGACCTAGAAAAGGCTATAGTATTACACTTTTCTCACAAAAATTTAATTTTGCACTATAAAAGGCAGTCAAAAAACGTAACTGCATGGAGTTATGTTTGCTTTCAGTGCTTTTTGTAGTTAAAAACTATTCTAATCCGGGTGAGAATATAAAAAAATTGGAAAAAGAAAAAGTATTGAGGCGGTTAAAAAAAGCGTGCAAATAGTAAGGAGCCAAGAACCTTGATTGCCCCTAGCACCCTGACTTTTTTTTACTGTCTCTAAAATTCAATTTTTTTCTGCAGAAAATTTGAAGTATAGAGGCTGTTTAACGAGTTATGACGCGAGGGGCAATCAGAGCTCTTGGCTCCTTGCAATTTGCACGCTTTGCTTAGCCTCCTCAAAAGTTTATCCTATTTTAAATTTTTCTTTTAAATGTTTTCATGTGGATTAAAACTCTGACGCACTGCTGACCAGTCACCCGTGCTTCTAAGTGTGCAACATGTTACAAACTGTTAACAATCAGCAAACTGTTAACTACTTAACAACATGAACAAATGAAGATAGTGACTTACATGAATTGGACTGAGGTAAGCTTCCTGTACTAATCTATGAGAGGATATATGATTTCAAGTGAAACCCATACATAAGGCCCGAGATATTGCGCCGGCCGGGCTAGTAACGCTATAGTTCGGATATCATTTTAGAAAAATTAGCTGCTGCAACCAAGTGTTACTCACAGGAAGTTATGAACAGCATAAATGTCTCGAGACAGGTATTGCAAAATTTGCTGAGTGAACAATGTAGAAACTGCAAAAAGATTGATAAATTTTACAAACATTTCAAAACTTATTTTTCTTTATCACAGAACTGTTGTTATTATAATGAAAATGTCACCAAAGACTGTCTCATTTAGCAATATCAGCATATGAAAGACTGCAGCGCTGAATTAACTGGACAAAATCAAAAAAACTGAAAACTGCAAACCCTTTTTACCAAATTGGTTCAAATTTTTATTTGAGTCAACTTTAGTGTCATTAATTTTGCAAAGTAACAACGCAAAATATCTAGATAATTTTTTAAGCAAACTTTGTTTCAACTTCTAAGCAAATATAATTTGATATACCATAATAATTTGCGTAAACTGTTAAACAATATTTTTCTGTTATTTTTGTTCAAAATTAATCCAATTTTAGAAAAATGAAAAAACATGTTTGCGATTTGATCGTTTTTTTTATCGGTCGAGCTTAAGATAAAACGTTTCATAAATTTGGACAAGACTGTTTCATTAAACATACCAATATGATTAAGTCGTCTTGCAACGAGCTCTCCGGGTGTTTTTAGAAAAACAATGTTAAGGTTATTGTAGGGACCTCAAAGTTGCTCTTTTCAAGCACCCAAAATGAAGTACCACAAACAGTATTTCCATTTTAGAAATGATGGGAGCTACACCAAAAATATTGAAAAAAAAATCGTTCATGTCAAGATACTCTTATTTCAATAATTGTGTTTTTATTTCCTTATTTCATGCCTAATTTTTATCATGATAACTAGAGTCGAAACACTTCGTATCACTTGAGAATAAGCCAGCTCTCTTTTTTATTTTAAGAAAGTTCTAGCAAGATCTTTATGTCTGCGATAAAATAGTTTTCAGTAATTATATATTGAAAATATTGACAATAACTTAATTCCAGAGAATCAATATGAGTGTACTTGGAGTAAATTAGAATAAAATTCGTATTGATATATAAATCAAAATTACTGATCAAAACTTATTTGAATAGAGCTGACACTAGTCGAAATCGTTAGTTTCTCTTATGTCTGAAGTATTTTGGAAATTACATCGAAATAACTAGAATTACAGAGATGGCAGGACATGGACGTTTATCTGATGAGGGGGAGAGTGCGATGTTTTGGCTCTGCTGCCGGGGACGCTATTGAGTAGACTAAGAAGACTCGTTACAACTACTGCATACAAAATGGGGAACGCATGGTGAGGGGTTTGAGGAGTCTAGAATGGAATGTGGGCGGGAGTTGTATCTGGTGGTGGATGCGGAGACCTCAGACGTTCGTATGCACTCGAGACGTTGCAGGCGTCTGGAACTCCTAACAAAGAAACCAGTTTATTTGATTGATTCCGATCATACCTTACGGGCTTCAACTTCCAAGCTAGAGAGATGACAAAAACTGAAGAAATGCTTGTGAAAAAACAAAAACACCTTGGAAATTTGTTTCAGGGGATGTCCTCAATTTCACGCCTTTTCTTTTCAAAGACAAATTATTCTTTTCAAAAATTAAGAAAACAAAACTGATTTTGATGTGCTGCTTGCAATGAGTTCTGCCATGTAAATAGTTTTTCTTACCACTAAAGAGTACCCTGTTCCGTCTGACTTGACTGCTGAAGGATGTCTGAGGTGCAGACCCACCACAGACCCATCGGGGGATGCGAAGTGGCCGAACCCATTGTTGTTACTATACATAGGAGTGAACATACTTTGATCCCCACACCCTAATAGAGGCATGTTGTTCACGAAGGTGCCCTGATGAAGGGGGGTGAAGTTGTGCTGCATTCGCTCCTCCTCGCCAGCTACTCCGAAATTTGACCCCTGCTTCGAAGGGGGCTCGTAGAAACCGTTCACTGCCATCTTCATGTTCGCTTTTGTCGTTCTCTTCATTTGAATCTAAAAGCAAGGTCAGAAATGTAAAAACAGTGGGGAAGTAGCCAAAAACATAGAAAAAAATTCTGAATAAAGTTTTGTTTAAAAAGGAAAAATGGATGCAAAACTAAACAATTAAAGCGTATTATTCGAAAACTGAGTCGTTTAATTGACATATTACACCTCGTGTTGATTATATAAGTTGCGTTTCTCTGTAAGAGTCATCCAATTTCACTCGGCATGGAGTCCAGTTATTGTTCCGACAATTTTCTCTTATTTTCGATTTCTAACAAAAAACTTTTGAACTAGTCAAGCTTAAAAAACAACAGAAACTGAAACTTCACGATTGCTTCAGTCTGCGCGAAACTAATAGTCTGCGAAAACTGAAAGACAAGTTTCAATTCTGTTAAGTTAGGGAATTCTGCGTCTACAGCTTATTGATAAAAATGAAGAAAAAAAGGAAGGACCAGTACCTACTAAGCAATGAAACAATCAGTAATTAAAGAAGTTCAAAAGTATTTTAGAAAATATTGAAAGCATAGAAAAAAAACGGATCTTGTTAAATATCCCCCCCCCCCTTTTGGACCTTGTTAAATATCCCCTTCTATGCATGTATTATTTTTGACATACATTTCTGTATAAAACATGTATTTCAAAAATGTCATAAATTAACTGGTTTTTCATTTCGCGCGTTCGTATTTGTATTAGCTACTATTTATATAGTACCTACATAAAAAAAATTTTAAAATATATTTTCTGAAAATTGTCTTAAGCTATTGAAAATGTGACAGCCAAAGTTGAATTTCTAAAAATCGAAATAGGGGGAATAATTAACAAGATCCAAAAAAAAAAAACTTCTAAATAGAAAAAATGATTCAGAATAACACGAAAAACTCAAAAACAGGGTGGTTCAATTTTCATTCAATCTTTTCTATGCATTTGAAGAAAGACTAACCAAGGTTTTAACGGGGCTAGGTCTTTTACCAGACCGACCTTTTACCAGACCACAACGCAATAATTCAGTTAAGATGAATGGAAATTACTGGACGATTCGAAAAGGAAGCGATTAGAACAAACAAAACTTCGCTGAGAAACTGCGAAAACGGGGCCTAGGAAATTAGACAAAAAGCAAATTAGACGTGACCAACAAAACCGAATTCAGACGTCGATGCAAAATTACAAATAAAGGAAAGTAGACGTAATTATATTGTGACTGAAATTTGGTTACCGACTACAATTAACTTTTGTTCAGCTTTTTTAAATGCAAATCAACTTCTCACATGCCGCAATTTTCACATTCCGCATTTTTCACATGCCGCAATTGTATGATTTATGCATTTCAAAAATGTTTTGTAATCTTGAAATAAATAAACATTTTATAAATCAATTCAGATAAATATTTTGATATGCAATGGGATCATATATTATTTTTGTAATTATGAAAACTTGTTTTAAGCAATAAGTTTTGTTAGCCCTCTGTTTTCCGTCTAAAATGCTAGTTTTCCAAAACCAATTTAACGTCTAAATTCGTTTTTGTTGGTCACGTCTAATTTGCTTATCGTCTAATTTCCTAACCCCCGTGAAAACATTATCTTTAACCAGACTAAACGGCGTTATTACTTCTGGTAGTCAAATTTGTTTATCGAGTCTAGTTAAAGGTCCATGTTATAACTTTTCTGGTAAAAAGTCGGTCCCCGGGTTTAAGGTCTAGCCAAAACAGTCAATTAAACATAATGCGATATGTAAATTTGTGATCACGAAAGTTTGACTCAGAAATTTTGAAAGTATGCAAACAAATTTTGAAGTGTAAATCATTTCCCCGTGAAGGCATCACTCGACAGGCAGCTTACTGGCATTTTAAATGTTCAAGATGGAATTTTTAAAAGCAACTTTTGGAAATAAAAAACAAACGTTCCCTTCTTTCAATTAGAGTGAACAAGAATTTAAAGTGACAAGAAACTCAGAAGTTGAATTTTTTTTCGACTTTAAAAAAGAAACAGTTTTCTTTTGTTTTTGAACTTCTTTTCTTATGGTGGTCGGAACATTTTGCGCTATTTGCACACTAACTAGTTACCTTCTTTGATTATAGTAATAGTTTATTCTGGTTAATGTTTTGATTTGCAAATGGACATGGAGCAAACCTTCCACTTGAGGCTCTGTTTGAATGATATCAGCAGAGTGTCCCCTATGGCCACCACCACTCCCACAATTATGGCCACAGTGAGTAACACGAACACGCCCATCACCCTGTCTATGGTCAGTCTACTCGCACCACTCTGAAACAAGAACACATTTGCATTTAAGCTCAAATAGTAGATTCCCAATTGATCGAGAAAAACAAACAATAGTGTTTTCCATCGCTTACTTAATTTGAAACAAAATGGTAGGTCTTGTGATTCATTTCAAATTATGTCAGCAATCAAACACTATTCTCACTACCTGCAACCCAAAACACTACTTGGAAGCTCAATAAAGCACATTATAATTACATTTGCACGGTATCAAGAACATCTCGCATCCAACCAGGAACAACAAAATAACTGATGCCACATCATCTCAGACGAAACTGATATCGGCCGAAATGGATGTGGAAAAACACAACCAAAAACATTAAAAGGGGTCATTGGAAAAATGGCCGGCAATTTTTGTGTCTAGTCATTCCCCTCTCCCTCGGCACGCTGTGGGGTACAAATAACAAGAAGTCAATCTGAATTGCACATATTTGATTAAATATTTATATTGAATGGTGTTGATTTCCCGAAGGTCTTCTAAGATGGGTTTCGTAGATGGCTGGCAGAATAGCTTAAGTGAGTTTTCGTTGCTCACCTGTTGTTTGGCTTCACTGGATGGGCAGGGTGACTTAGTGTACCACCAATCTGTCTTCAGCTTGTCAATCACATTCTCCTCTATCAACTCCAGAATTTGGATTGTCAAATTACCTCTGAAGCAAAACAGGATGATTCAACGCATCACACCACCCGCACTGGAGTTTCATGGATGATAATTGATTATAGTCTATTTTCATTGTCAGCCTCAATAAATTTTAATAACAATTGATCACAATTGAAAAAAAAAATGGATCATAATTTCAATGTTTTTTAACAATGTAGTCAATTATAATTGATTACAAATGATTACAATCGTTTTTTTTTCAGGCGTTACATGTTAAAATTAGAAAAATTTTCAATTACGAATTTGTTGAAGTAGGTTAGAAAGATTTGTTTCCCGGTTACTAAGTGACGCTTTGTTCTTTTTGCTTTTAAAATTAGAATTTTTTACCAAATATAAAAATGCCTTTCTATTTTTTACGAAGGCTCATTCATCGACAGTGAAAAGTTTTTTTTGAAACTTTTCTGATTATAATCCTAAGGGTGATCGTGAAACATTTTCAAAACTTCATATACATGGGACGCATATACAATTTTGTCAAGGAATACAATTCGTATGTTTTCATAACTTCTTTTACTATAAACCAAACGAACCATTTTTTGCATCATCAAAAGGAGCGAAGTATCAAAGTATTTGTCTAACAAGTGCATCCGAACTCTAGAAATCCGACTTGCAGCATTGGTTTAAAATTGGATCTTTAGTATTCGAGCAGAACTATTTTAGGGACATAATGACGCATTTTCGAAACGATTCCATATGGTTAACCACGCTTAGCGTGAAGAAATAAGAAAGAATATTAAAACATAACTTGACAGATAAATGATTACCTGGATTTTTCCAACTGAAGGAAATTTTAAGGTAAGTCATTGATAGGAAATCGATAGTTTGACGAACCACGCAAAGATACATTAATTTGAACAGTTTTATCCATATTCAGAGACCTTGATAGATTATGATCATTTGCTGACAATTTCTAAATCTTGATTGAAGTTTCTGTCGGCGCCGTTTAAAAAGTTGATGTCGCCTGAGCTAGATATAAAAAAAACGACCTGATCTTGAATAGTTTTCATTCAGGTGCTTCAAAACTGGTAAAATCACGAATGCGCATGCTTTAACAAGGAATTTGTTCATTCCATCAGCACTAAGGGAAATTTTATTTTGCAGCTTTGGAGGACTAGCTTGATTTCGCAATCCCGAGACAAAGTAATACTGCATGCAAGAACTCAAAAGCAACCATACAAAAGCGCTGTACAAAAACGTGATCAAATCTAAAGTTTGGCGTGCTAATAGTAATCGAGAAAAAGTAATTATTAGATTCATAGTTATTAGATTATTACATAAGAAGTAGAAAAGTAATTATTAGGTTATTAGATTCGCACAAACTAATTCATCAGTGAACGATTTGCTGCTATTTGACTCTGTTGAAACATTTTGTTTCTTTTGTTTCGAATGTTTTCAATGATGCATATTTACCTAAAATAATATTGTAATTCGAATGAAATTTTTCAAATACATCATCCATTTTTTTTGTTTTTTTTTAGTGTTGCGTATTCCTGTATTTCAAGCACCAAAGCAACATTAAAGTCATCTATCTAAAAATGAGATTTATAGAAACGAAGCTAAAAAACGGCCTTGGATTGCAAAAAGAGCTCAGTCTAGAAAGTGGGGAAATGAGAATATCGGTCTATGCTTAGACAAGATGGATAGCCTTTCATAGATTCTGTGCGAATTGCAGAATTCACAAAAGCCTAAAATGCCATTGGACAAGTTTTCTGGCCGGGAAAAAAGAAATTTCACAAAATGGAATATGCGATTTGGTAGGAAGAGTTTTTTTTTTAAAAAAGGAAGTGTAAGATGCTCACAGGAATGGTGAGTCTTTTGGTGTCGCCAGTCCATATGTGATGGTGTTGAGTTTGCCCCCCACCTGGTAGGTGTTGCAGGGCAACTGTTGGTTGTAGTATTCCATCATAATACTCTCCATCAGGAAGGCAAAATTGTCCTTCTCATCACGCACCCGGGCTACTCCGTCCTCTGTCTATACACAATCACACAGTACTACGTATATGAGATATGATTTCGGGAAGGCTGACTGATTTGAGAGGTAACTTTTTCTTACGGTTTTAGTGAACAGTTTCCGGTCCTTCATGAAAGCGAACATTCGCTGGTATGTTCCCACACTTGATTTCTAAAACAATCGAACAAAACATTGTATGCAATAGGCCACGTTTTTATAAAAAATTTAAAATTTCAATGGTTTTGAGTTTTTTTTGATAAAAAAATGTCATGGTTTTTTATCAAAATTTTTGTCCTTGTGGCTCGAACATCTGTAAGTCAAATTGCTTTGAATCATTATCTTTGATAGCATTACAGAGACCGTTTTTTTGTATGACATTTGTCCTTTAGTAGAACGTAGTCCCTCTACGAGACAAAACTATTTTGAGTTGTTACAAGGGAGGGGGACTGTACCTCGAAGAAGCCTTTGGAAGAGCCACTGCCCAGCACCCCATACTCGATAGTAGTCTGTGCCGCCAGATCCTCTGAACCCTTGATGGGGGTCTTCATCCTGTCCGCAGTGAGGAATGCGGCCAGATTGGCCGTGTAGCTGCTGATGATGATGAGGGTGAAGAACCACCAGGAGGAGGCCACTATCCGGCCAGGCAGAGAGCTGCAACAACACCCAGTTTTTCGACACCATAAATTAGAATTTTTAGCAACGTTTGAGTTACAATTTTTGAGTTCAGTTAATGAACATTATCATGCGGCCAAAGGACGAAATGGCCGGGTTTACTGGAAATGGTAGACACGGTAGTCCAGTTCCGTAAATTTAATTTAAAATAAAGTTCTCGGTGATTTCAATCAATTTGACTTTGACTTCCTAATTGACCAAAAAAAATCCATTAAATTGCCTTTTTGTTTTCCAATCTCAATCAAACCCTTTACAAATCAAAAAACCAGAGGACTAAATGGGGAAAAATTTCATGATTGTAAGGAAAAATGAGGTGTTTGTTGAACTTACTTGGGACAGATGTCTCCGCCCTGCTGCATGAAGGAGCCGAGGGAGAACCAGAGACAATTTATGATGCCAAAAGTGCTCTGCTCCTCAGACTGCGCCCCCTACACAACACACATTCATATAATAATAATACCCTAGGTCATGAATTGGGGGGGAAATTTATGAAAAGACAAAGGAAACGGTAGATTTGTAACAAGAAACAGGTGGTCACAAATAGTCATTAAATACTGAACCTTACATGTATTTCTTTTATTTGCGCTCAAATTGTGATTTGTTTTGAAGGGATCTGAAAATGGGATGAGCGAATAAGCAAAGTGAAGTTGACTCACGTCTGTTCCATCTGGACATGTTGAGTCTGGGTCGTTGGTGGAGAAGCGACTAACAAGGAAAAGCACCACACTCACACTGACATATGCCAGCAGACAACACATCCAGATCTCGTTGGTCAGGGGACCCAAGAAGGAGAAGAGACCGATGTTCTTGGGGGAGGGCTTCCTCATCATGATGGAGATGCCTAGAGTCATGTATGGCTTCGTGAAGTCCACCACGTTTTGTCTGCCACTGTTTATGGTCAGAGGAGCCAGGGCAACGTCCGCTTCCTAGCACAACATGTGATCACTTTAAACTTAAAACTAGCACAATTTCAAATTAATCTTAAAACAATCAGAAGTTCGTGTTTGAGAAAAATTTCACTTACTTTTGCATATATATTTTTTCACTAATAGGTTGTTGAGTTCATTTGATTGAAATAACATTCCATTTATTTATATTTGATTTCATCGCAAATCGTCCTGTGAAAAATAATAGTATGGCTCACCCCTCGGAGCAGTTCGCCTATCATTCCATTCCAGGTGCCGTTGTCGTCCTCTGCACCGTAGTTGCCATCCTTAACGAACTTGAGCTCATATTTGATGTCCTGGTATGGCCTCATGATCTGCTGGATGAGGTCTATCAGGAATCCCTCCATGTGCTCCATCCTCAAGTTGCCTTTCCTCTTTGGGTCATCGTACCACTCCCGGAACTCCTCCTTAACCATCACGAATGGCTCAGACTAAAACCAGATTCAACTTCAGTCTCTTTTTGTGATGAATGAACTTAACAACTGGCAGAAGTCCAGCAATAGGTGGTGTAATTTTTTTAGATGACGCTGATGGAAATCCCGATCAAGGCTCTTTAGTTTAATCGTAAAATAGTATTTCGGTTCATGCTAAAGCGTAAAAGTTAGCACGGTGGTTTACTCTATTTGTAGTAGTTTTGCTTGATTCCTGAAATATCAAAAAGTGCCTCTATTTCCAATTGTTCACTCACTGCGACAGTGGTGACGCGCATCAATTGCGGAGAAGGGGCTAGTTTAGAAGACGACCCTTCGTTCCCACTCCGCTCGAAGATGAGTCCGGTTTGGTCCGACCAGTTGGCTATCCGGCTGTGCACCTGCTGGAACCCCACATCCAGGATCTGCAGCTGGTAGTTCTTCCTCAGCCCCACCTCCGTGAACTCAATGTTGCCTGTGACGCCTCTCATCTTGGTCTAAATAGCGAAGCATTATTTTCAGCCAGATTACAAACTATTTTATTGTCGATAAAAAGTCAAAAACCAACAATGTCAAAAATCAAAAATCACATGAGAAATGTTCGGTATTGATAGCTTTTTTTAAGCATTTGTTTCAGTTACGGCTATTTACTCGCCAGCGTCGCAAAACAAGCCAATTTTTTTTTGCTAATAGCGAAAGCTCATTGTATTTTTCACTCATTACTTAACATGGGTTGAAGTTTCATTACCTTGTATAAAAGATTGGCGATGTTTGTGCGATGTGCGGCCACAGTGTTAGTGTAGTTGAGACAAGGCTTCGTCCTCCTGTTCCTGTAGTCGTATGCAGACGAGGATTGGGAGGGTCTCAGGTCGTCGTGGGTGAGGATGGATGCGAGCACTTTGAATGAGTCATAAGCTAGAGACACCTCAAGCTGCAACAAACAACCGTTCATTTTTGTCATCACTGTCAGTAATTTTGAGACAAAATGCAAAACGAATATTTCAATGACTTTTATTGATGATTAATATGTTTTAACGCACATTGCTTGGGCTGAGTAAGGCAGCATTCACCATCCCAGAAAATCAACAAAAAAATCTCAGAAGCTGATCAATGGTCTTTGAGGAGCTAAACAACGGCGCTTATTTCGATTTCGAATCTATTTCGGGGGGGGGGGGGGGGGGGGGGAGGTAATTAGGTGTGTTATGTTGTCCTGCCTGGTTCTCCTCGAACACACTCATGTCGTCGCTGTGTTCCTGTCTCCACCTGCTGATCAGTTTCTGGTTCTCCTCGTCACTGTCCTCCAGTAGTTTGAAGCAGGTGATGTTGATCTTGCCTGATATGTTGAACTGCACTTTCCTACATGGCATCCGCAGATCCGCGATCACGTAGTGGTACTTCTGAGTCAGCATCTCCGCCTCGGCCGCCTACACACAACATAACACTAATCATATAAACTGTTTCCAGTTTTCATCCAAACTCAAGCATTCTATATTTTTATAAATATACTGCCATTTTCTAAAGAATGCAGTCTAATAGATTGCCATCAGAGAAAGTGATGTCCATTTTTAGGCGTCTTTTTACTCCAGTCAAGACTGCTGTTTGAGCTCCCGGATCAAGCTCAGCTCTGATTTTAATTGAGAAAACATTTATTTCAAAACGAATGTTTGTTGTCATATAAAAACATTCTAAGGTTTTTTTTTTAAATATTTGAATATTGAGCCAAAAGACTACAATTAAGGTTTAATTTTGAAAGAAGTTTGACAAAGACGATCAAGCATTGTATGTTTTAGTACACTTCAGCGTCGATTTGGCTTGCGAATCAATCCTGATTATTGAAATAGGAGGCACACACAATAGCGTGGTCTGCAGGTACTGACCTTTTTGAAGAAGAGTTCAGTGAAGTTCTTGGATAAGAAGAGAAGCACATTAGTCTGCTGGGACATCATCATCTCCCTCAGAGCAGTCTCTATGCTCGTGGGGTCGAACACATACTTGGTGTTCACCACCTGCGTCCCACCCATGAAACTCTGAAGACGCTGCATCGCTACACAAAACACATACTCACATATGACTATTTAACATCAAACAGTCAGCCTAAGTTGAAACCAGTTCAAGTCTAATTGCTTGTGCAGATGTGAACAAACAAAAGCAAAAATTTACAAGAATGTTTTTCTTCTTGGGCAACAAAGTCCTCATAAAATACCGATGCAAAAATACTTTAGAAAATCTGGTATGTACACACTCATGAAGCCCATTAGAACACAAAACTTACGATCACTGAGTCCTTTCTTGAGGGTTTTTTGGTCTACTAATGATAATTGTATGCTTTATGGGAGCTGTTGGCAGGCATGGTATTTATGTCAGAATTTTCTTCAAAATTGATGAAACAAAAAATTAGGTAATTTTGATCTACTGGATTCATTTCAATCTTCTCCAATAAGTTAAAGTGACTGACCATTGAAGTTGTCGAATACTATGGCCATCACTTTCCACCTCAAGTAGGCAATCAGTTCGTAGATGGCCCTCTCGAACCTGGGCTGCAGTTCGAATGCACTATTCAATTCACTGATGCCAGTCTGGAAGGTGAGGTGGGGTATCTCGAATGCACTGGCGTAGGACTGGATGATGGCTGGGATGGGGATCTCGGCTGAGCCACTAAAGATGGTCGCAACGCTCTGATTGGCCACAAGACACACTGCAAAACAATACAACCTTTCAGTAAACAAAAATCTAGTATTAGTCTAATGTTCATCTTCTTGAGGTTACTACACTTCAGATGTGATTCTGGCAAGGCCAATATTATGACTTTGAGCTTATGGAAATGGGAAAAGCCTATGGAATTGGAGTTCTCTCGATTTCAAGCTTAATTTGTCTCCCAAATTTTTCTCTCGATTCCTTAATTTTTCTCACAAATTAGGAGCTTTGCCTATAATTTGTTCTTGCTCCTTACGCTTCTCGTTGACGCTTCTATCTTATTGCAAAAAGGATGCGATAGCAGTGCCGTGGTTTATCAAATGCAGTTTGGTCTGCTCTGTCTTTTATAGGCGAGAAAAGAGTGAAACTGTGCATATCTTTTACTGCCATAAGTGATGTCAAAATATGCCCGTGGGTTAGCCTAAACTTAAATTTAATAAACTTTAATAATTTTAATAAATGTAATTTTGAGTGAGATATGTTCTCTAATGAACTTACTCTGGTGGCTGAGTTTGAACATGTCGTCTTTGTTTATTACTGCGGAGATGATCTCGATGTCTGACCTCACTTGACCCGAGACAGGGGGACCCATGCCCCCATTCATCTGCCTCTGCTCCTCCTGGTACTCTCTCAGAGCCAGACGCAACACCTTGGACTCCAGAGAATCTGCCTTGCTGTACATCAGAGCTGAAATGCAATGGGGCCAAAATAATTAATCGACCACTTTCTCCGATAGCACTCTGTGCATACAGATAGTTTGCTCAATAGGATGTTTTCTTTGCAAAAACAAGCCCGATTTAATCAATCGAAATAAATGATTGTCGAAATAAATTCAGTCGAATACACGTTAAAATATATTTTCTATAGATAACTTAGCGTTTAAACTGAATACCAATCGGAAATATGTACAAATAACTTTAAATCATCTTCCGCTTTGTTATAGCAAATGAATTTGTTGATATGCCAATCAAGCATTGTAGATTGAATTCTCGTCATTGTTTTTTTTTCTGGCAGTTTTTCCATATACTTTGAAAATTGTTCGCATGGTTCCCCGTCACAAGATCCACAAAAATTTGCAATTGATTCACTGTTTCTTGAGTATAAAGAGCAGTTATAGAAATGGCCGATATTTGGCTTCAGCGAGCCATCTGTCCGATCAAAAATTTGTTCCAGGTAAAATGAACCTTTCAATAATCGATCAGAAGGTTTCAGCTTACCGAGTGGCCGATTCTTATTAGAAAAAACTAAACGTCACAAAAACATGTAAATCATTGAATTTACGCTAATTTTCTCATCAACCTTATTGTAAACAGAGCACCTGAATAGCGCAAAAACATGCCAACTTTATAACTTCTTCAAGTTAAAAATTAGTATTTTTTAAACAAAAATCCACTTTTTGACTCGTTCTGAGGTCCGTCTCGGACAGCGTCAAATAGCTTTCCGACTATTGTTTTGTGACCATCTTTAGCTTCAATCATAGCAGAACTGCCTGTTTTGCCGTTGATTTGATATTGGTGATGATTCTTTTTCTAAGCCCAAGTAGATTATCTAAGTTGGAAAAAAAACTTCAAAATTTCTTTTTGTTTTTATCCAATTTTAGTGCTGGTTTTTGTTTTACCTGCTTGAAGTAATGCCTTTTGTTCTCATCCTTTTGAATTTCTAATAAGTGGTCTAGTGAAACCACACTTCTAAACAAGTTTTTTTGAATGAGGTTCTTTAAATAGGGCGGAACCATACTTCTACCAAGTATCGTTAAGCAACCTAAAAAATGAATTATAAACATTTCACGTTATTAGGGCTCAAAGCAATTAATTTCTTAAGTTTAAGTTTATGCACAAGCCTCCTGAACACACTGAATTGATAATTTTTCAACTGAAATATTAATTTTTCACACAAAATATTGCACCTCTAATGAATGTCAAGTTTTTTTAGTTACCTCTTTTTAAAATAAAATTAGTGAAGTAATTTAACTTGCCTTTGCAGTATACTGTATCATGACTTAGCGAAGAAAGTTGGAATAAATTTGGAGCACAAAAATGGCCGTATCATAATATTTAGACTATTTAAATTGCAGTTATATAAACGAATGGCAAACTGGAACAAGGATAGCCAGTTAATGTACTAATAGCACAGAACGTTCCGACCATAGTCTTGAAAAACACCAAAAAATAATTTCAAATTAGTGTCGTTTTTCTGCGTGGTGTGATAAAAAGATCTGAACAAAAATCTAGAACTTAAGCATATTCGACAATCGTATTAAAGTAGGCCAATTGGAAAACAGGTTTTGTAGAAAAATGACACGAAAAACGAAAAAAAAAACTTAAAAACTTTTTTTTTCAAATTTTTTTGCAGAAAATTTTTGAATTTTTTGAAGTTTTTGGCTCCCAAAATGAACCTACAAAACTCCAAAAACTAGTTTTACTTGCTTAAAATTAAATTTAAAGGCAAACAAATTAGACTTAATTCAGTGTTGTAAGCCTGCTCGCTTGCTTTATTCGCTCGAATTGAAACGAAAAATAAAAAATTTCTAACCAGTTTTTCTTGACACCGGCAAAAAATTTTCTAAATTTTTAATGTCTTTCAAATCGTGGCGGAAAGGTTCAATACAAATTTTTATTTTCATTATTTGAAGATTTCATCATTTGTTTATCCATAGGACTTAAAGGGTAGTCTGAACCGCTAGGGCTTTGCCCTGGTACGAGCAGTATTGTTTTTAATTCAAAAACATCCTTTATGCGAGTCTGTCCAAAAAGGAGGAAAATGGACTTATAGATTACAAAAAATTCTTTTCTCTCATTGTATAATTTTTTATGGTGAGTTTGATGGTTTTTCTACTTCACTAAATTAGTGATTGTAAATAGATTTTTTATACTGAATACTAACAGTAATAAAATCACTTTAAATCAATTTTTTTGTCAGTACATTGTCATTACAAAGTCCCAAAATAAAAATAATAATTTCGAAAAGCCAAAAGATTGCTCGTATAAAGGTGAAGCTTTGAACTTTACGACTGCATTTTAATTTCTATGGAGTAATTCAAAAGAAACTAATCGATGGAAACTTTTAAAAAAATCTAAAAAAATCATAAAATTTTTTTATCTTTTCTAAAACCGTCTCCCCACACGTTATGTAAACACAAAGTGAAATATTTTGTATATAGTAAAGTAGTAAATAGACCAAAGAGCATGCCTCAATCCATTTTGATACTAAAATTTTTACGGATTAAATCTTTGCTTACGCGTTAATAGCTCGAAAAAAATTGGCAAGTTAATTGTACCGAACTGAACATATTGGCAATTTTTAAACCTCCATAATTTACAAAAATTAATCACAGGGGAAATATTTTTCAAATGCGAGCTCAAGACAACAAATACTTTGGATGAAAAGGAAAAATTTTTGCTAAAAACTGCTACTTGAAAAGCCGAAATTTGTGCCCCAAGCACAATTATTCTGTCACTTTTTAGGAAGTCGGAACAATAACTCAAAAAAAATGTTCGCATTTAGGATTTTTCAAGTTTCAACTCAAGACATCACTACTTTGCAAATGATATAAAAACTTCGGTTTAAATCGCTAGCTACAAAAACAAAGCCTTGCTGCAGAATAAACCCTACCGAGCACATGGATATTCCGTCACTTTCTTCTAAGGTCGGGACAAAAAGCACAATTCAGAATAAAACTGCCAGTTAGTTTTTGAAAAACTATCGACAGCATGTGTTCCTTAAAATATGACAAAGCAACATCAGTTGTTGAGTACTAGCTGTGGTACGGCGTAGTTTAGAGATCATTATGTTATTACTATTGTGCTAGCTATCTGTGCTAAACTCGCCTTTGTCTATCAAGGTCGTGACCGACCTGCCAATCCGTTCTAGTTTAACACATGCCTTTAACACATGTGTTCTCTTTCATTCTTCTGCAACTTATGAAAGATTTGAGTTGTATTTATTTCATTGTCATGACATAATCTAAATACTAAACTATCTATATTATTTACATTACTATAAACATAAACAAGGAAAATAGATTCTTGTTTTACAACTGTCTTTTATCATTCCACATGGCGCAGCCAGCAGTTTCGACCTCCGAGGATCGAACTGACCTGTTGGGCGTATCCGTGTTTTGGCATAAACCAACTGCGGACCCACCCTGTAGCTGGGACTCGTGGATAGGTCAATTCAATTTGGCAATCACTCTGAGAGAGAGATGTGATCCACGCGAATTATTAAAACCTCCGGGTGTCGTACACGACAATCCTGCCCCAAAACCAGAAGTCGTGGGAGTGGATGAAGATGCTGCAGCAATCGCAAATCGTATTGCACGAAATGACGCGGCGGTCCGAAGAGTCACGGAAATGAATGAAGAGCGCCGGGCGAAAGGTCCCAGCAGAGTGGCACCAGGAGTGTATTATTACGAGGTTGAACAACGTGTTAAATCTCGTTTATTTTTCTCGCTCGGCTCAGAAGGGAGGAAAAGATTCCTCCAAAGTTATCCGCATGCGGATCTGAGCGCATTATCATTTCGGGATTTCCACGAATTCTGTGTTTTCTTGTTCAGAAAGGAGAAAAATTTCATCATCGAAGGTATGCAAATATACAACGCGGTACATTCAGACCGAGAAAGTTTGGAAGCATTTTATCTGCGTTTGACGGGTCAAGCCGCCCTGTGTGGGTGGACAATTGATCAAGAAAAAGAAATCGTAAGAGATATCTTCATTGCCAAAATGAGATATAAGGATATTCAGAGAGAATTATGTATTCATCCAGGTGCTACTCCGGAGGATTCTCTGAAATCCGCGTTACTTCAAGAAAAAGGAGCACAAACGGCCACCGATTTGCAAAGGCAACTTGGGAGTTCGTCATCGACGGGCAATTCCTCCCAGTCAGGTGCCATTTTGGGTCAAAACTCCCGGATAAAACAGGAACCCACCTTCTCTGTCCAGGGTAAGAAACTTTCTGACAGGATTAGTCGGGCACAGAATAGTAAGCAAAAGGGGTTCAACGAAAAATCGAAGTCGTGTTACTTCTGTGGTAACAGATTCTCAGCAAACCACAAGCAGAGTTGTCCAGCCAGAAGTGTAACTTGCAGGAACTGTAACAAAAAAGGCCACTTTGCCAAGTGCTGCAATTCTAAGAACGTTGCGAACGTAGAAGCTGAGTCAGACGAGACAGTGGAAGAAAATTGCAATTTCATCACTTCCGATAGTGAGTCGAAATTCGCTGTTTTATCTGTAGCAGCTGGGAAACCAAGTCTTCCAATTAGGTCAGTGAAAAAGTTGGAGGTGGTCAATGCCGCCTCGGGCAAGTTACGCTCTATCCAGATTACACTACGTTGTGGCAAGACGTTTTTTAAGGCAACAGTGGATACTGGGAGCCCAGCTTCTTTCGTGAATAAGAAGACAGCAGACTATATCCTGAAAACTGTACCTTCAGCCAAGATCCTCACGGTACAAGAAAATCCAATCGATACAGTATACGTTGACTATAATAGGAAGAAAATTGAATTGATGGGTACGTTAATTATGGATGTATCATCTTTGGGATGGCATATCAAGTCTGCAAAATTCCTTATTTCAGAAAATTGTACACGTTGTTTACTGAATTTAGATTTGCAACCCCATTTGGGGGTAAGAACAACGCAAGTTATGCCAGATCGTCCTCTGGTGGGAGAAGTCTCCCAATCAAACCCGAAT